CGCTCGGTGATGAGGCGCTGCGGGACGCGTCGACGCTGCTGCGGTTTTTGCGCGCGCGCGAGGGCAAGGTCGGCGACGCCGCGGCCATGTGGCGCGACACGCACGCCTGGCGGCGGCTGCACATCCCCGCGGCGCTCGGAGAGATCGGCGCGTTCGGCGACGCGCGCGCGCCGCTCGACGCGCAACGGAGCGACTGGACCTGGGCCATGTTCCGCGACCCGACGCGGTGCGCGTCGGCGCGCGCGGCGCTGGCGCTCAAGCACGGCCACGCGATCCGCGCGCCGACGCTCGCGCGCGACGGCTCGCCCGTGCTGGTCTGGCGCATCGGCCAGCTCGACCTCGCGGGCTGCGCGCGCGAGCGGCTGCTGGACGCCCTGTGCCTGCGCCAGGTCGCCCACATGGAGGACGGGCTGCAGGCGTCGCGCGCGATCTCGCGCGCGGAGCGGCGGCTCGTCCGCTGCCGCGTCGTCGTCGACCTCCGCGACATCCGCGTGCTCAGGACCTTCGCCTACGTGAACAGCGGCCTCAAGCCGACGATGCGCATCGGCAAGGCCTACTTCCCCGAGGTGACGGCGTCCGTGACCATCGTCAACGCGCCCTTCGGCTTCGAGGGCCTCTGGAAGGTCGTGTCCTTCTTCCTCAACGACCGCATCCGCGCCAAGGTCTCCATCGTCGGGTCCGACTACGCCGACGCGCTCCGGGACCACGCGATGATCGACGACATGGCGACCATGCCCAAGTCCCTCGGCGGCGCCGCGGACGACTACGGCGCGCCCGAGCCCGTCGCGCAGCACGCGGGCGCGGCCGTCGACCACGACGACCCCTTCGTCAAGGTCAAACCCGCCGACGACGACGAGCCGCCGCCCAAGTAACGCGTCGATGCGAACGCTTAGAGCCGCGGCGCGATATCGGCCCGCGCGCTAGCCCTTCGGACGCCTGATCGTCGAGATGTAGTGCACGTTGTTGCCCCGGATGAAGCAGTCGCCGTACTTGGCCTTGAGCTGGCCGTCGACCTGCGGGCGGCGCGGCGCGTCGGGAGCGGCGCGCGGCGCTCGAACGCGCGGCGCCGTCGCCTCGGCTCGATCGGCTCCGCGCGCGCGCGCGCGCGGCCTCGAACGCGGCGCGCGGCGCGCGCGCGCGCGGTCTCGCGTGCGCCGCGTCGCGCGTATTCCTCCGTCTGCTCCATGGCGATGTTCATGTAGCCGTCGAGGCAGGCGAGGATGCCGCGGTAGCTCACGCCGGAGTTCAGCTTCACAATGACGGGGCGGCCGAGCACGGCCTTCAAGAAATCGGACGGCTGGTACTTCGACGCCGCGGCGGCGGTCTCGTGCGCGGCCATCGATGCGATGGGGCGGCGCGGCGTCGAGGCGGCGCGCGAGGAGGCTCGGCCGGCGAGCTCGAGTGGCAAGACGATGGCTCTGCGGCAGCGCGTCCAGCCGACGGATGCGCCGCCGCCGGGCATCGTCGAGCTATGCGAGCAGCTCGACGCCACGGCGCCATCCACGCGCTACGCGCTCACCAAAACTACCATCGAAGCGCTCCGCGACGACACCAAGCGCCCGCGAGCGCCGTGGTACACGAAGCTGCTGGTCTGGCGCGTCGTGCGCGACCTCTTCCTGCCCGAGGGCTACCCGGCGAGCGTGGCACCGGGCTATGGAGCGTACCAAGCCTGGGACGTCGTCCAGGGGTTGAGCAGCTACGTGCGGGGCAATCTGGCGTACAAAGCGACGCTCGAGGGCCTGGGCGTCGGCGACGTCGAGGCGTCCGCGATGGCGGGCGCGGTGGCCAAGATCGCGCGCGACGCCAGCAGCATGGTCGCCGGCTTGGCGTTAGCCTACGGCTGCAGCCGCGATTTCGGGCGGCGGGTGCGGCAGTGGCGGCTCGCGGCGGACGTCGCGAACGACGTCGGCATGACGGTGCAGATGCTCGCGCCGATCGTCCGCGGCGGCGCCTACTTCGTCCCCCTCGCGTGCGTCGCCGCCTGCTGCCAGTGCGCCTGCGGCGTCATCGCCGGCGCGACGAAGGCGTCGATCAGCGCCCACTTCGCGAGGGGCAACTTCGCGGAGCTCGTCTCCAAAGAGGGGTCGCAGGAGACGTTCGTCAACATCCTGGGCCTCCTCGGCGGCTACGCCTGCCTGACGCGCCTGAACGCGTCGGCGACGGCGGTCTGGGGGAGCTTCGCGCTGCTGACGGCGCTGCACGTCGTCGCGAACGTTAAAGCGGTGCGGACCGTGACGCTGACGACGCTCAACGAGCCGCGCTTCGCGCTCTGCTACGACGCCTTCGTCGCGTCGACGTCGCTGGCCCCGGCGGCCGTCGGGGCCGCCGAGCCGCTGCTGCCGCCCCTCTTCAAAGGCCGCTGGACGCTCGGGGCGAAGGTCGCCGACGCGGCGCCGCGGGACCTCGCGGCCGCGATCGCCGCAGCGTCGCCGGACGACGCGTTCCTGCTCGTCGGCGACCTCGTCTACCTGGCGCCGGCGGCGACGGACGGCGACGTGCTCGAGGCGCGCTTCTGCGTCGCGCGGGCGCGCGACGGCGTCGGCGTCGACGCGGCGAAGGCGGACTTTGGCCGCTTCGCGCGCGCGCTGGACGCCGCGGGCTGGGACACGACGGCCCAGCTCCTCGACGTCGACCCCGCGCGCCTCGACTGGGGGCCCTCTTTTAATCGCATTTGATGACGCCCTCCTTGAGCTTCGCGGACACCAACGTCCAGATCTTCCCCAGGCTCAGGTCGCCGGAGTACATGTCGTTCGTGAGGCAGTTCTGCTTCCCGTAGGTGCACGCGAAGGCGAGACATTCCAGCGCCGAGTCGTACTCGAGGTCCCAGGCGCCGTTGAGGTCCCGGAAGGCCGCGGCGTTGAAGAGGCCGTCGACGACGTCCGGCGACGCCGGCGGCCCGCCCTCGCGCAGGTTCTCCGGGAGCGCCGAATGCACGAAACCGCCGCCGGACATGGCCGCGAGGTAGCCGCCGCCGAAGGCCATCAGCGCGACGCGGATCGGCAGGAGCAGCGCCGCGACCGGCGCGACGACGGCGCAGAGCAGGAGGCCCACGGCGTGGGCCATGCGCACGGAGCGGTGCGCCTTCGCGAGCCCCGTGCCCGCGCTCGCCGGCGGCGGTTGCGGCCGCACGGGCGGCGCCGGCGCGCGCGTCGGCCGCGACCGGTTCCGCGCTTCGCGCTCGCGCGCGAGGGAGGCGAGGTCGACGGCCATCGTTTGACGAGGCTGTGCGGACGACGAGAGAAGAGGCGCCGCGGCTGCGACGGGGCTGCTAGGGGGTGAACATTACTGCATGTTACTCGACGAGGTGAATGCTGAACCGCCGAATCGAGCTGTTGGTCCGGCGCCGTCGACGCCGACGCCACAAGCTCGCGCCGAAGCTCGAGCTGTTGGACGCGCCGACACCGTCGACGCCGACGCCGCAAGCTATGTCGGAGTTCCGCAAGTTCGCGACGCAATTGGAGGAATGCGAGCAGCGGCTCAAAGACATCGCGCCGTCGACCTGCAAGCTGAACGCCATCGAGCGGCGCCAGGCGGCGGCGCGGGTGACGGAGCGCACGGCGGACGGCGGCGACCTCGGCGCCCTCGGCGCCAAGTTCGGGCGGCGGCTCGAGGAGACGGAGGAGCACTGCGACGGCGCGTACCTCGAGGCCGTCGCCGCGCTGCGCGCGAAGCGCGACGCCGCGGCCGCGGCGGCGATGGAGGACGAGGCGGACGTCGACGAGGCCGCGGCGGAGCGCGCGGCGGCGCTCGGCGCGGAGGTCGCGGCCCTCGAGGCGCGGCGGCCGGCCCACGTGTCCCTCAAGCCGCGCTACGGCGAGGGCATGCGCGCCAAGGTCGCCGCGGCGCTCGAGCGCCTCGGCGAGCTCCGGGAGACGGCGCGCGAGCTCGGCGAGGCGCTGGAGATCGACGTCGCGCGCTACGAGGACGAGGTCGCGCTCGAGCGGGGCCGCGAGGCGGCGGCGAAGGCCTCGGAGAGCGAGCGCGCCGACGCGGCGCGCGCCGCGGCGCTCGAGGCCGCCGCGGAGGGCGAGCGCGAGGCGGCGGCGCGCCGCGCCGCCGAGGCCGACGCGGAGCGGGCGCGGCGCGCGGCCGCGGACGACATCCGGCGGGACCGCGCGGCGCGGCGCGAGGCGCGGCGCCGCGCGGAGGCCGCCGAGCGGACCCAGGACGAGGAGGCCGCGCGGCGCTGGAAGAAGGGCGTCGACGCCGTCGAGGAGGCGCTCCGCGGGGCAGGAAAAGAGTGCGAAATTCCCAACTTCAAAGGCTCCTATCTCGGTCGTTTTCCACTCGTTTCGGCTGATTTTTGGACGAGCGATCATCGCTCGGAACGGTCTCGAAGCGTGGATGCTTTTCCCGGAACGCGCGCGAGCGGAACACTCACGTTGAAGCGAACTTGAATCACTCTTGTCCTGCCCAGGCGCTCCGCGAGCTCCGGGCCGCGTGCGCCGAGGACTCGGACTATGGCGGCGCGGTCAAGGCGCTGATGAACATCCTCGGCGCCGTCGTCGAGAAGCCCGACGACGACGCGCGGCGCAAGCTCCGCTGCGCCAACGAGGCCTTCGCGCGCGACGTCGACCGCCACGCGGGCGGCCGCGCGTGCCTCTTCGCGAGCGGCTTCATCCTCACGCACCGGTCCACGGCCGCGCCGGCGCCGGACGGCGACGAGGACGACGACTGGGTCACCTGGGAGTCCTTCCTCATCCTCCGCGAGCCCGACCCGCTCAGCGACGGCTTCGACGCGTGGACCGCGTGGTTCGACAACGTCAAGGCGTGCCACGAGCGGCTCTGCGACGAGTTCCAGGCCATCGCGGAGGTCGCCAAGGCCCACGCGGGGGGGCTGCTCCAGGGCGAGATGCCCGCCTGGGCCTCGACGCGGCGCTCCCTGTACTGAGGCGTAACCCATCGTACCGCTCGCAGACTGCAACCTGAGGTTAATTGTTGGTTGTTGTCGCACTTTTGCATGCGATGGCTCGTGCTTCCGCACGCTGATCGACCCGCAATGGTTCACGCGTGCATCTGCATGCTGATCGTCTGCGCGACGCAGGCTCTGCAGCTGCGACGATCGCACAGCTCACTCCCGCGCCGTGTGCTGCGCCGCAATGCAATGCCAGAGCTGCCCTGGGCCGCCGATGCGGGCGTCAAGCAGAGCAACGCCCAGACGCGGCGCAACGCCCAGACGCGGCGCGCCTGGCGGCGCGCGCGGCGCGGCGAGGTGCTGCGCTTCGGCGGGCCGGCGCTGGCCACGGTGCTCGCGGACCCGCTCATGTCCGTCGTCGACGCGCTCTGCTGCGGCCGGAGTTGCCCGACGCTCGAGCTCGCGTCCCTGGGGCCGGCGCTCGCCGTCTTCAACTTCTTCAACTACTTCTTCTTCTTCCTCAACGCGGCGACGACCGTGCGCGTGACGAAGGCGCTCGCGAACGGCGACGACGCCGGCGCGTCGCGCGAGCTCGGGCAGACCGTCGCCGTCGCCGCGCTGAGCGGCCTCGCCGTCGGCGCGGCCGTGCTGAAATCCGCGACGTCGCTCGCGGCGGCGACGGGCTGCCGGCCCGAGCTCGTGCCCGTCGCCGCGGCCTATCTTCGGGTGCGCGTGCTGGCGCAACCTTTCGTCCTGGCGTCGATGGTCGCGCAAGCCGGTCTATTAGCGCAGCGCGACGCGCGGACGCCCTTCGACGCCGTGCTGCTGGCCTGCGCGTGCAACGTCGCCGGCGACCTTGTGTTGGTCCCGCGGCTCGGCGCCGTCGGCGCGGCGTGGGCGACCCTGGCGTCGCAGGTCGCCGCGCTGCCCGCGCTGCTGGTTCTGTCGAAACGACGGAAGCGCCTGTCCGCGCTGCCGAGGCTCCCCAAGCTCAAGAACCTCGCGCCGCTCGTCGCCGCGGCGAGGCCCCTCTTCTGCTTCGAGGTGGGGCTCTGCGTCTGCTACGGCGCCGTGCAGGTCCTCGGGTCGCGGTTCTCCGTCGCGTCGACGGCGGCGTTCCAGGCGCTCTGGACGCCCGCCGCCTTCATCTTCTTCATGTCCTATCCGCTGAAGCAGGCCGCGGCCGTGTTCCTGCCGGCCCTCGCGGCGGAGCCGGACCAGACCGTCGGCGCGCGGCCCAAGTCGAAGGAGTTCGTGAAGGTGCTGTGCGGCCTGGGTGTCCAGGTGGGCCTCGTCATGGGCGCGCTCACCTGGGCCTGCGCGCAGAGCCCGGCGATCTTTACGCCCGACGCGTCGCTCCACGCGACGATCCGCTCCTTCGCGGCGCCCGCGGCCGCGGCGTCGCTGATCCTGCCGTTCTCGCAGCTCGCCGAGGGCGCGCTGCTCGGCGCGGGCGACCTCGGCTTCCTCGGCGCGTCCCAGATCCCGAACGTCGCCGTCACGCTGGGCGGCGGCGCGTTGCTGCTCCGCGGCGACGCCGGCGTCCGCGGCGCCTACGTCGTCCTGCTGGCCTTCTACGGCTCCCGCGTCGTCCAGGGCCTGCTGCGGGTCTTCGTCGCGCGGCCGCCCTGGCGCAACTGGCGCGCCTACGCGCTCGCGCCCGCGGCGCTCGCGGCGCCGACGGACCTGGGGGAGCGCGAGATCCCGTTCGACGGCGCGTTGTAACGCAAGGTGCCGTAAGGTTGCCGCTCGCCGAATCCATAGGAATGCCGCAGCCCCTGCCTTCTCTTCGGACTTTACTAAGTGTTACAGGTTCGGCAGCCCGACGCAGCCCGCGCGGAGGTAGTCGCGCACGAGCATGCCCGTGACGTCGTGGCCGTCGCTCACGTGCTTCCACGCGGCCTCGCGCGCGTCCCACTTGTAGGTCTGGCCGCCGGACACGGGCGACAACAGCTCGACGACGCGCTTCTCCGGCGCGAGGACGAGGCGGAACGCGCCCATGTTCGCCGGCAGCGCGATGACGAGCGACAGGTCGTCGTCGGCGCTCATCTCGACGTCGAGGGGCTCGAAGGCGGCGGCGACGCGGTCGCGCAACGCGTTCGCGCGGTCGAGCCACGCGTCCACGCTCTCCTCGGGCGCCGCCGGCTTCGCTTTGGCGCCCGGCCGCCGCTTGCGCCGCCGCGGCTTGTCGGCCTTTTTCGTCGGGTCGACGATGGCGCCCATGGGTCCAGCGTCGGGCGTGCGGAACGACGCGAACGGTCGCAGCGGTGCTGCGAACGGTCGCAGTGTCGTCGACGGTAGCCGTCTCACGAGGCTTGGCGCTCGCCTGAGCTGGCCTCGCAGAGCTTGCATCGCGCTCTGCGGAGCTGGGGCCGGTTGCCACAGCTCGCCAACGCTGAAGCAAACACGGGCTCGCGGAGCCATCCTCGCGCGCGTTTGAGTCGTCCGCGACGCCGCCCCGCGCGCGCCCGAAGCGAAAGCATGTCGTACAACAACGGGCCGAAGCCCAAGCTGTCGCGCGACGAGAAGAAGGCGAAGCGGCGCAGCGCGCAGAACGCCAAGCTCGAGCAAAAGTCGAAGCAGGAGGCGGCCCACTTCTGGCAGTGCGCCGGCCGCGGCGGCGACGCCGTGCCCCGCCTCGGCGCCGCGGAGCTCTTCGCGTCGCAGTCCACGGGCATCAACTTTTCCCAGTACGAGGCGATCCCCGTGACGCGCGGCCGGGTGTCCGAGGCGGACGTCGCGCCGCTGCCTTCGTTCGCCGCCGTGAAGAACGTGCCCGGCTGGCTCAAGCAGACGCTGACGGCCCCGGACCGCATGAACTACGACACGCCGACGCCCATCCAGAAGCACACGATCCCCCTCGCGCTCGCGGGGCACGACGTCATCGCCACCGCGCAGACGGGCTCGGGCCAGCGTCGAGCGACAGGAGTGTTTTTTCACGTGAATTTCGCCCGAAGATGTGAAGGAATCCGACCCCGTCGCACTTGGTAGGCTCGGGCAAGACCGTCGCGTTCCTCCTGCCGTGCGTGACGTCGGCCGCCGCGGCGCGCAAGGCCTCGCGGGGCGGCGGCGCCGCGGCGCCGTCGACGTTGGTATTAGCCCCGACGCGCGAGCTCGCGACGCAGATCGCCGACGAGGCCGTCAAGCTCACGTTCGACGCGCCGAAGTCGAGCAAGAACTGGTGCGTCTGCTGCTACGGCGGCGCGAACGCGCGGGGCCAGCTGGCGCGCCTGGCCCGGGGCGTCGAGATCCTCGTGGCGACGCCGGGCCGCCTCGTCGACTTCCTCGAGCGGTCGAGCGACCGCGGGCCCCTCGTGTCGCTCGAGAGCGTCAGGTTCGCCGTCCTCGACGAGGCGGACCGCATGCTCGACATGGGCTTCGAGCCCCAGCTGCGCAAGATCGTCGCCAAGCTCCCGGCGGCGCGGGAGCGCCAGACCCTGATGTTCAGCGCGACCTTCTCGCCGGCGGTGCAGCAGGTCGCGCGCGCGTACCTCGACGGGGCGCGCGTCGCCGAGGTCACCGTGGGCCGCGTGGGCTCGAGCGTCGCGTCCATCGAGCAGCGCCTGGTCTTTTCGCCCGCGTCGGACAAGCGGTCGAAGCTCGAGCTGCTGCTGCCCGTCCTGGCGCCGGGCGAGAAGACCATCGTCTTCGTCCAGAAGAAGCACGTCGCGACGTGGGTCAAGCGCGAGCTGGCCAAGGCCAAATTCCGCGCGGAGGACATCCACGGCGACCGGTCCCAGTCCCAGCGGGAGGCGGCGCTGGAGAGCTTCAAGCAGGGCCGCTGCGACGTCCTCGTGGCCACGGACGTCGCCGCGCGCGGCCTCGACGTCAACGACGTCGCGCACGTCGTCCAGTTCGACCTGCCCCAGGACGACTTCGACACCTACGTGCACCGCATCGGCCGCACGGGCCGCGCGGGCAAGACGGGCGTCGCGACGGCCTTCTTCGTCCCGGGCTTCGAGCCCAAGCACGGCAACCAGGCGCTCCACCGCGACCTCCTGCGCATGCTCGAGGAGAACAAGCAGCAGGTGCCGCGCTGGTTCCGCGACGTCGGCGTCGGCAAGAACGCCCGGGGCGCGGCCACGCAGGCGCCGCGCAAGGCGCCGCCCGCGCCCGCGCCGCCGGCGCCGGCGAAGAAGAGCGGCCGCCGCGACGAGCCTCAGCCGCCGCCGGCCAAGGCGCCCAAGCAGCGCCGCGACGACCGCCGCGACGACCGCCGCGACGACCGCCGCGCGACGCGCCGCCGCCGCCGCCGCCCCTCGAGCGCAAGGCGCCGCCGAAGCGCAAGGGCGCGCCGCCGCCGCCGCCGCCGCCGCCGACGGAGTTCGTCAAGAAGCCCCGGGGCAAGGGCGGCAAGGGCTCCTCCAAGGGCGGCGCGCCGCCGCCGCCGAAAAGCGAGCCCAAGGGCAAGGGCGGGCGGCGGCCGCGGCTCCGGCGGCGACGCGCCGCCCGCGCAGAGCGGCCGCGGCCGCGGCCGCGGCGACGGCGGCCGCGGCGGCCGCGGCCGCGGCCGCAAGGGCGCGCGCCTCTCGGCCTAGCCGACCACCTCTCTCTCGTTCGTGACTTTCGTGTTCTAATCGTGACTTCGACTGTGGTTTTATGTACAGGGCACACGGGGGCGGGGGTCCTTGGCGACCCTAGTAGACTTCCACGTGGTAGCGCTTGTCCTTCTTGAGCGCCTTGACCCAGTCCTTGAAGACGAGCCCCTTCTTGTCGCAGACTTCCTCCAGCGCGGCCTCGATGCCCGGCTGCATGCCCTTGAGGCCGCAGAGGTAAAAGTGGGCGCCGTTGTCGAGGCGGTCGAAGATCTCGTCCGCGTGCTCGACGATGCGGTGCTGCACGTACATGCGGCCGCCGTCCTCGTTCGTCTGCTCCCGCGAGATCGCGAGCGTGAGGTCGAACTGGTCCGGCTTGGACGCCTTCGCGGCGTCCCAGAGCTCCGGGTAGAGGATCGAGTCCGACGTCGGCCCTCCGAAGAAGAGCCACGCGCGCCCCGTGAAGGCGTCGTTCGCGGGCGTCTGCTCGTCGAAGAGGCGCTTGACGAAGCCGCGGTAGGGCGCGACGCCCGTGCCCGTCGCGACCATGATGACGTCCGCGTCCGGCGACTCCGGGAGCAGCAGGCCCTTGCCCACGGGGCCCGTGAGCGCGACGACGTCGCCGGGGCTGCCGTCGCAGAGGAAGTTCGAGCAGATGCCCTTCTTCGCCGGGTCCTCCTCGCCCGTCTCCGGGTCCACGTAGACCGCGCGGCGCACGCAGAGCGACACGGAGTCGCCCGCGCCGTCGTCGCCGTAGCGCGTCGACGCGATGGAGTAGAGCCGCTGCTGGTGGGGCTTGCCGCCCTTGTTCCCCGGCGGCACGACGCCGACGGACTGGCCCTCGACGTAGGGCAGCTTGCCCTCCGTCGTCATGACGACGTGGCAGATCTCCCCGGGCGCGTCGGGCCCGATCGCGCGCTTCACGCTCCGGATCGCCGACTTGTAGGGCGCCGTGGGCTTGAACGCCGTCTTGGGGATCTCGGCGTACTCGAGGAAGTCGAGGGTCGGCGCGGCGGGCGCGTCGGGCAGCGCGACGGGCGCGGAGGGCGCGATGGGGATCGCGGCGGCGCCGTTGGCGGGCGCGGCGCCGTTAGCGGCGATCTGCGCCTCGAGCTCCTTGATCTTCAGCTGCGCCTCGAGCTCGGCGATGCGCGGCGCGTACGCCGCGAAAACCTCGAGCTTCGCCCGCTCGACGGACATGACGGTCATGCGGTGCTGCTTCGCCAACAGGTCGATCTGGGGCCCCGCGCTCTCCTTCGAGTACTCCGCGCGCGTGTCGCGGGCCAGGGGCGTGTTCGCGGGCGGCCTGAGGCCGTTGACGCACGCCAGGACGGCGAGGAGCTTCATCGGCGCCATCATCGCGTTGCGGCAGCGCGCGCAGATGACGAAGCCGGCGGCTGCGGCAACGCAGTTTGCGGAATTCTGTCGGACTGAAGATCTTGCTCCAGGGCAAAGTTGGACACCAGCATCGACCGAGGGTATCCGTGATAAAACGCGCTCAAACAGGCCGTCCACCAGGCGTCGTTGCGTGCTACTTTGCTCGTCGCCGGTGGTCCCGCGCGGCGGCCATGGCCCTCGCGGAGGACAGCAGCCAGCTGAAGCTCGACGGGATCATCGGGTTTTCCGGCTCCGTGCAGGACGGCGTCCACGTCGTGCGGAGCGAGCACCTGCCGGGGTCGCGCGAGTGGATCATCTACCCGCTGGGGAGCCTCGTCGTCGTGCGCCAGACGGGGACGGGGTCGCGCGCCGTCGTCGCCTTCCTCCAGGGCCACAGCAACGACGTGAGCTGCCTCTGCGTCTCCGGCGACGGCCGGCGCCTCGCGTCCGGCCAGGACTCTCACCAGGGCGTCGCGGCGGACGTCATCGTCTGGGACCTCGTGGAGGCCTGCGAGGGCGCGCTCGCCGGCGAGAGCGCGTCGGAGAAGGTGCTGCTGCATCGCCTGCGCCAGCACAAGGGCAGCGTCCAGGCCGTCGGCATCAACTCGACGGATTCCCTGCTCGCGACGCTCGGCGGCCGCGACGACAACGCGCTGGTCATCTGGGACCTCGAGAGCGGCGAGCCCATCTGCGGCCAGCCCGCGGCGGCGGACAACGCCCTGGCGCTCCAGTGGCTCCACGGCAACCCGGACCGGCTGATCACGTGCGGCGCGCGCCACCTGCGGGTCTGGCAGGTCGACGTCTCTTTGCCGAAGCTCCACGCCATGGACGCGCTGCTGGGCACGCTCAAGCGCGTCATGCGCTGCATCTCCGTGGGCTCCGACGACGCCTTCGCCTACGTCGGCACGACGACGGGCGAGGTGCTCAAGTTCGCCATCGACCGCGACGGCATCCAGCTGCCGAACGACCCGGACCGCGTGCGGCCCATGCTCAAGGCCGTGTCGCCGAAGCGCGTCGGCATGGGCGTCCACACGTGCCAGTGCCTCACGAACCCGCGCACGGGCAACGACAACGTCATCGTCGGCGCGGGCGACGGCACGCTCCTCCTCCTCAACACGGACCTGAACGCGATCGCGAACAAGAAGGAGCAGCTGTTGGGCGCCGTCACGAGCATCTCCATGCCGAACCGCGAGAGCGGCCAGTTCGTCGTCTGCACGGCGGAGGCGAACCGCTACCGCGTCGCCGTCAAGGACTGGCAGGCGGACCTGGTCGCGACGGCGCACGTGGGCAAGGTGAAGGACGTCGTCTTCCCGCCGAACTTCAGCGACGTCTTCGTGACGTGCTCCGCCGGCGGCGACATCCGCGTCTGGAACACGAAGAAGCGCGTCGAGCTCCTGCGCATCCGCGTGCCGAATCTGGAGTGCGAGTCCGTGCTCATCACGTCCTCCGGCGGCGAGGTCGTCAGCGGCTGGTCCGACGGCCGCGTGCGGTCCTTCTTCCCCGAGAGCGGGAAGCTCAAGTTCGTCATCAACGACGCGCACACGGACGGCGTCACCGCGCTCGCGATCGTGCCCAACCAGGCGCCGTCGTCTTCGTGGAAGCTGCTCAGCGGCGGCCGCGACGGCCGCATCCGCGGCTGGCGCGTGACGACGTCCCACCAGGCCATGCTCTTCAGCATCAAGGAGCACCGGGGCATGGTCACGGCGCTCAAGGTGTCCGAGGACGGGTCCAAGGCCGTCTCCGCGAGCGCGGACGGGTCCTGCCTGAGCTTCGACCTCCACACGCAGGTGCGCAAGCTCGCCTTGTTCGAGCCCAACGTCTTCACGAACGTCGCCTGGCACCCGGACGAGAGCCAGCTGTTGACGACGGGCTCGAACTACAAAATCACGTACTGGGACGCGTACGACGCGTCGCGCATCCGCGTCGTCGACGGCTCCTTCACGGACGAGATGACGGCCCTCGACGTCGAGCCCAAGAGCGGCGCCTGGTTCGTCACGGGCTCCGCGGACAAGACCGTCAAGTTCTGGCACTACGACGACGGCATCGCGTGCGCGCAGGGCATCGGCCACTCGAAGCGCATCAACTCCGTGAAAATCTCCCCGGACCAGGCCAACGCCATCTCCGTCGGCGACGAGGGCGGCATCTACATCTGGTCCCTCGACGAGGCCGTCAAGCCCACGTGCGACTGAGCGCGCGCGGGTATCGTCCGCGCTCGCTCCGCCTCGCCCTCCCTCTTCCCCGCCGCCCCTCTCCCCCCAAGAACAAAAAGGCCCGTCGCCGCCGCGGACGGGCGCCGAACAAAACAAAAAAAAGCCGCCATGTGTAACGTCTTGGCCATCATCCTAGGCGACTTTGCGTCCGTTTCGCCTTCAACGGTAGTGGACTTCTCTGGACAAGCGCGCACTGAAGTAGGAGCCAATGGTGGGCATGAAGGTGGACCTCCAGCACGAGGGCGAGGACGGCTGCCGGCGCGTGACGTTGAACGAAAAGTGGCAGAAGAAGCGCTGCGGCCTGCTCTTCAAGGTCGCGGGCCTCGCGAGCGAGGACGAGCTCATCCTCTCGAGGCAGGGGTCGTCGAAGGTCCTCGACCTCGCGGCGCCCATCGGCGAGGCCCTGCGCGACGGCGAGACGTACGTCGTGCGCCAGCGGAGCGTCGCCGCGGCGCGGTCGGCCATGGCCCTGCCGGCGGCGCCGTCGGGCGCGCACCCGCCGGCCGCGGTCGCCGCGGAGGCCGCGGCGGCGAAAGACGCGGAAGCCGCCGCGCGCAAAAAAGAGGAGGAAGCCCGGGCCCTGGCGGCGAAGAAGCGGGCGCGCGACGCGGAGCGCGCGGCCCAGGCCAAAGCCGGCGCGGCGCCGCCGTCGAGCGCCGCGCTCAACCGCGAGGCCGCCGCGGGGCTCCGCGAGTCCGGAAACGAGAAGTTCCGCGCGGGCGACCTCGAGGCCGCGGAGCAGTTCTACAAGGTGGCCATCAAGGCCGCGCCCGGCGACGCGCGGTCGCGGGCGAATCTCGCGGCCATCGCGCTCAAGCAGGGGCGCTTCGTCGACGCGGCGCGGTACGCGGCGGCCGCGCTCGAGCGCCAGGAGCGCGAGCCCAACGTCGGCAAGTGGTGGTTCCGCCTCGGCCGGGGCCAGCACGGCATGAAGCGCTTCGCCGACGCGCTCAACTCCTTCCACAGCGGCCTCCAGGCCGCGGACGCGACGCCGGGGTCGCAGCTCCGGAACGACCTCGCGAAGGCCATGGAGACGGCGGAGAAAGCATTGCGCCAGCAGTGGGCCAAGGTCGCGGAGCTCAGCGGCCGCGCGGCCAAGGAGGAGGGGAACCGGTCCACGTACCGCTGGCTCACGGAGTCGCTCCTCGACTGCGACCCGACGAACGTCTACGCCGGGGCAGCAAAAGAGAGCGAACTTCCCGACTTCAAAGGCTCCTCTCTCGGCCGTTTTCCACTCGTTTCGGCTGATTTTTGGACGAGCGATCATCTCTTGGAACGGTCTCGAAGCGTGCATGCTTTAGTTGGAACGCGCGCGCGCGGAACACTCACGTTGAAGCGATGTTGAATCACCCTTTTGCTGCCCAGGTCTACGCGCTCCAGCAGCTGGGCGCGCTCGCGCTCGAGGAGTGCGTCGGCCCCGTCGGCCGCCGCGACGCGAAATTCGCCGGGTTGGCACCGCCGGAGGACGACGCCGCGGGCGAGCGGAGCGACGACGAGGCGCCGGAGGTCGGCGCGGGCGACGACCCGGCGTTCGCCGTCGAGCTCCTGCGGTTCGTGAAAAAAGGCGCGGCGCACAAGGAGGTGCGGCGCGCCTACCCGGACGCCATGCTGCGGTCCATGCGGCGCAAGCGGTTGCGGCGCGTGCGGCTCGCGCTCGAGCTCGGGCTCCGGGCGTTGCTGGCCGACCTCGCGGCGCGGCGCGAGCCCGAGCTCCGCGAGCCCGCCGTCGCGTCCCTGGGCAACATGCCGCTCCCCGAGGACGAGTCCACGCTCAACGAGGTGCGCGCGGGGTTGCACCTGGCCCTGGGCAACTGCCACCGGGCCCTCGGGGCGCCCGCGCACGCGGTCGCGCGGCATTTCACGAACGCGTGCGAGGCCGGCACGAAGAACGTCGTCGCCTGGAGCTCGCTGTCGCAGACGCTCCTCGACATGGGCGACCGGCGGTCCGCCGCGGCCTGCCACGCGGGCGCCGTGGAGCGCGGCGTCTGGGAGCACCCCGCGCAGCGGCCGTGCGGCTTCGCGCGGGGCCTGGGCAGGGGCCTCAAAGGCGGCGGCTTCTGGGACCCGGCGCGGGCGCCGGACCTGCTGCGCGCGCTCCGGGGCGCCCGGGCGGAGATCTTAGCCGAGGCGTCGGCGCTCATGCGCGGCCACGCGGCGCTGCGGCGCGGCGCCGCGGGCGACCTGGGCGGCGTGCCGCGCGCGCGCGTCGCCGGCGAGGACATCGACAAGGTCTTCCGCCCCTACGCGTCCAAGGCCCTGGAGGCCGGCGGCGAGTGGGGCGACTTCGGCCTGCGCTTCAACGGCATGACGAACACGCGGAACTGCGCCGCGTGCCCCGTCACGGCGAACGCGATCGCGTCCTGCGAGGCCGCGCACACGGCCGTCATGGGCAGCGCCTACTTTTCGCTGCTCCAGCCGAAGACGCACCTCAAAGCCCACTGCGGGCCGACGAACCTGCGCCTGCGCATGCACTTTGGCCTCTTCGTGCCAAAGGGCTGCCGCATCCGCGTCCACGACGAGACGCGCGCGTGGAAGGAGGGCGAGTGCCTCCTCTTCGACGACAGCTTCGAGCACGAGGTCTGGAACGACTCCGACGAGCCGCGCCTCGTGCTGATCATCGACGTCTGGCACCCGGACCTGAAGACGGACAGGCAGCGGCTCAAGCACCTCGACGCGGCCCAGAAGACCAAGTACAAGATGCTCAAGATGGGCCACGTCGAGGACACGGAGGAGTCGGGGCACTAGCGTCTACGCGGGTTAGTCGGCCAAACGAGGCTCAGACCCGGCACGCGTCGCGGTACACGTTCCGCGGCGGGCAGCGGCTGAAGGGGTGGGGCGCCGCCGCGTCGTTCCAGGCCGCCGCGTCGACGTCGTAGGCGTCGGCCGCGCCCTCGGCCGTCGTCCCCCACCTCGTCCGCCCGTCGCGGACGCACGCGAGGCGCGCCGCGAAGGACCCCGTGAAGTTCGCCACGTAGTGGTCCCGCACGTAGTGGACGTCCTGGAGGTGGTACTTGTAGCGCCCGATCGGCACGTGGAGCTCGTGGCGCAGGTACGTGAGCCGCCCCGCCACCAGCCCGTGGCCGCCCTTGCACGACGTCGCGTTGAAGACGCGCGCCGCCGCGTCCGCGGCAAAGTCGCCGAAGGCCAGCGCCAGGTTCGTCGGCGACGCCGCGTAGTAAAAGTCCGGCGCGCACTGGTCCCAGGCCCAGAAGCGCTCGAAGCGGGAGAGGCCGCCGCGTCCGAGGTCCGTCGTCTTCTGGGGCACGCACATGTTCGCGAAGTAGAGCAGCTTCGGATTCAGGCGCGACAGGTCGAAGTCGCTGAAGAAGACGACGTCGAAGCGGAGGGCCAAGAACCAGTCGTAGGTCCCGGGGAACGACAGCGCCAAGCGGATCGCCGCCGCGAGGCTCTCGAAGCCCGCGGTCGACGCGCGCCGCGGCGCCGCGGGCACGGCCGAGAACCGCACCGTGCCGACGTTCGGCCCGAATTTGAAGCCGAGCAGCACGCGCTGGAGGTCCAGCGCGGGCTCGCCGGCGTCGTCGCGCTCGCAGCCGTCGAAGTCGGCCCACGTCGCGGCGCTCCAGCTGTGGCCGACGACGTCGAAGGCGACGGCCGGGTTCGCGCGGACGACGGCGCCGTCGAGCAGGGGGAGCGCGTATGTCTGGGCGCGGTACGCGGAGCTCGTGCACGACGCCTTGGACGCGCGCGGCCCGAGGCCGTGGAGCAGGATGGCGCAGCGGACTTGTGGGGGGTGCGCGGGTTCATCGCGGGTTCCGTGGAGCGCGCAAAAGGCGACGGCGGCGACGAGGACCCATTCGACGACCGTCGGCCGGCGCATCGTTTTCGACGGCCGTCGGCCGGCGCGTCGTTTTCGACGACCGTCGGCCGGCGCGTCGTTTTCGACGACCGTCGGCCGGCGCGTCGTTTCTCACCGCATCACGACGCGCTGGGCTGCCGTCTGCGGTCTGCCATCGTGCTTGACATTGCGGCAATCGCCCGCGTCTCGAGTTGTTGAAGTTCAATAAAATCGACGCCCTCGAGGTGCGTCGCCGCGAGAATCGCGCATGGCCTGCTAAATCGAGCCGTACCGAGCACGCAATGGGATCCCTCTACAACCTGGCCAAGACGGCGGCGCAGCGCTGGCCCGGCGCCGTCGCGCTGCGATCCCAGAGCGAGCACCTCGTCATGTCCTTCGCCGCGCTGGAGCGCGAGGCCAACGCCATGGCCGTCGTGCTGTCGACCAAGTACGCGCCCGGCACGGCGCTCGTCAGCGACCTGCAGAACGTGGCGCAGAACGTCGTGCTCCAGGTCGCCTGCTCGAAGCTCGGCGTCGCCTACGCGACGACGAAGAAGCTCAGCGGCCTCGAGAAGCTCGCGGAAACGGTCGAGATCGCGGGCGTCGTCCACAGGGACGACGACAGCGAAATAAAAACCGCGGTCGACAAGCCTCTCTCCATCGCAAATTTACAGGCGCTCACGAACATCATGCGCGAGGCCCAGGAGGAGGTGGCGACGCGCGACCGCGCGCCGGACCACGCGTACTTCAACTCGACGACTCCGTTGACGAACGACGAGATCGACCGTCTGGCGGCCGACGCCGCGACCCACCTCGAGCTCGCGCCCGGCGACGCGGCCTGCGTGTCCGTGACGCTCTGCCACGCCTTCGGGATCGGCTCGGCCGCCGCGGCGTGCCTCTCGGCGGGCGCGGCGATCGTGCTCCCGAACGTCGACGGCATCGCGGGCTGCGGCGTGCCGTCGGAGCGGGCCGCGGCGACGATGCTCGCTTTGGAGGCCGACGCGTGCACCGTGCTCTACGCGGACACGCACACGCTCAAGGCGCTGCCGGCGGACGCGGCGCTGCCCGCGCTGCGCGGCGGCGTCTGCAAGGTCGCGTCCGGGAGCGACTTCCTGGCGCGGTCGTCGCCCTTCGCCGGGCGGGACCTGTGGACCCTCGGGAAGCGCGACTAAAAAAGGGCTGGCGTCGTTCTTCGCGACGAACAAGGTTTCCGCTGGCGTCGTTCTTAGGTGGGTCTCTCGGGAGTGGGCTCTTCTCGCCGGCGCGGGGGGGGGACAAAGCGGGGAAGGGCGTCAAGTGGCCTAGGACACGACCCGCGCCGGGGGCAGCGCCTGGAGGATCTCCAGCGTGCCCCAGAGGTCGTCGAGGTTGCCGCTGGCCTCGTAGGCCTTTTTCGCCGCGTAGAGCCTCGAGTCGCCCTTGAGCGCCAGGGGCTTGAGCACGCGCTCGCCGCGGGACCGGAGGCTCTCGTTGCCGACCTGGCCCGGGCCCGGCACGCCCCCGAGGTCGTCGTTGATGAGCTTCTCGAGCTCGGGCACGAGGAAGGAGTCGCTGGGCGCCTCCCAGTTCTCGCGCCCTCGGATCTGGCGCTGCACGGGGCTGTTGAGGCCGCCCTTGAGCGGCGTGGCCCCCGCGCCCTCCTCGGGCAGCGTGATGTGGCCCGCCTTCTCCAGCTCGTAGAGGAAGACGAGGAGCTCCGCGCGGATGTCCGCGGCCTTCTGGGCCTCGTCGGACATCTTCGGCTCGGGGTCGTCCTGCTCGCCGCCGGAGAGCCGCGACCCCGTCGGCCGGGGGCCCGTCGCCTGGGGCGGCGGCGAGAAGGTCGGCGGCGGCGGCGAGAAGCCCGCGGCGGCGGGCTTGGGCGCCGCGGGCTTCGACGGCGGCGGCGCGTAGGTCGGCGTGGGCTTGGGCGCGGCGGCCGGCTTCTGCGGCGGCGGCGCGTACGCGGGTTTCGACGGCGGCGGCGCGCCGTAGGCGGGCATGGTCGGCGGCGGCGCGGACGGCAGCGGGTTGCCGCCGGGCGTCACGGGCACCTGGGCGGGCTGGGGCATCGCGTAGGCGGGCATCGCCGCGGGCGCGTGCCGCGCGGGCGGCTGCTGGGTCCGCGCGGGGTCCGGCGCGCCGCCCTCGCCCATGGAGTGGAGCATGGCCTCGTAGGACGGCGCGTTCTTCTTGTCCAGCGCCTTCTTGTCCAGGATGAGGTGGAGGTGGTCCGCGAAGGCGTCCGACGTCATCATGACGCCCGCGGTCTCGGCCGCGTTCTGCTGCGACATGTGGAGCAGCTCCATGGCCTCCCTCTGGAGGGCCTTGAGCTGCTGCGCCCGCTCGACGAGCGTCTTGTTGAGGTTGTCGCGCTGGTTCTCGAGGAGCGCCTCGCGGAGCTTGTGCTTGTCGGCGATCATCTTGAAGACGACGACGTGCCAGTGCTTGAAGGCCGTGTGCTCCTTGATGCGCACGAGGCGCATGAGGATCTTCGAGAGGAGGGCCTGGTTGCGCTTGAAGGTCACGGCCTGGAGCTTCCAGACGGACCAGCCCATCATCATGTAGTTGCCGCACATCTTCGACATGATCTTGATGAGCAGGTCCTTCTGCGCGCCCGTGGCCCGGGCGAGGGCCGCGGCCGCGGCGTCCTCCTGGCGCTTCTCCGCGTCGGCCTTGTACTCGATGGCCTTGGCCTCGAGGTCCGCGAGCTCCGCGATGAGCTTGTCCTTGAGCTCGAGCTTCGCGAAGAGGTTCCACTTCTGCGTGATCGTCTTCCACGCGATGAAGCCCTTGTTGAGCTGGGCGTTGTAGAGCCGCTTGATGATCTTCTTCATCTTCTGCTGCTGCATCTTGTGGCCGAAGGCCTGCTTCGCCCACTGGTTCCAGCCGAGGCGCGCGAGGCCCTGCGTGAGCTTCGTCATGATCTTGAGGATGAGCTTCCGCTGCGACTCGGACGCCGCCCCCAGGCTCATCTTCGCCGCCTCGTCGGCGCGGCGCTGGGCCTCCTCCTCGATCTCCGCCGTCTTCGTCGTGTACTCCTTGAGCTCCTTCTTGAGCTCGCGGATCTTCGCCTCGACCTCCATCTGGTGCATCTTCACGGTCGCGTTGTACCAGGCGGACCAGGCGACGAAGTACTGCATGTTGCCCAGGCGGCCGAGAATCTTGGCCATGACCTTGCGCTTGTGGTCCTCGCGCAGGCCCTCGAGCTTCGCCTTGAGCCGGTCGCGCTCGAGCGCCGACTCCTCGGCGTCGCGGCAGAGCTCCGCGATCCACTGGTCGTAGGCGGACCTACGCAACATCGAAGTGGGAACGGTCGCCGTCCGCGGCCCGGGCTCTCGAAAGGCGCGCGCGTCCGCTGCGCCGGCGCGCGCCGCTGCTTCTGCAGGTGGTTCTCGACCATGCGGCTCGTGACCTTGCGCGACGACGGATTCATGCTCGGCTTCGCGCTGTGCAGCGCCTTTTTCACCGTCGGATCCATGGCCGACCCGCCGCGATCCCCGCGGGCGCCGGGATCAACGACAGCACGGCGACCGCCGCTTCCACCGTCCGCTATGCAGGCCGACTGGGCTGCTGGGGCGCGCTGATTGTCGATGTATCTTGGGTAATGCGGTAATTAGCGACTTGCAACTTGACTCTTGTGGTAAATAAGCCGGTTGCTTATGACGACCTCGGCTCGCACCGTGCCGCAGCGCGGCACGCGGAGCCTGCGGCACGCGGACCTGAGCGGCTTCCCGGCGCCGGCGCAGCCGCAGAAGACGTCGCAGAAGCGGCGGCCGGCGCCGGTGAAAACGGAGTCGCCCCGCGCCGAGGCCTACCGCGTGGCGCTGTCGACGGCGCGCCAGGAGGCGGCGGCGGCGCGCGCGGCGGCGCGGCTCTGCGCCGAGGCGCTCGTGGAGCAGGAGCGGCGCTTCGGCCGCGGCGGGGGCGACGTGCACGAGGGCCGCGGCCTCATCCACGAGGGTCTGTCGGCGGAGGTCACGGAGCGGCTGTTCGAGGGCGCGCGGCGCCTCGACGGCCACGCGCGCGAGGAGACCCGGCGGCAGGAGTGGGCGGCGCGCGAGGCCGAGCACGCCGCCGAGCTCGCGCGGCGCGGCGACGCCGCCGCGGCGGACGCGCGCCGGGCCCGCGACGCCGCGGCGTCCTCGAGGCGAGACGGCGACGCGGCGGCGGCCGCGGCCTTTTTCGCGCTCCGCGAGCAGCACGCGGCGGCCGTCGCGGGCCACGCGACCGTCGCCGGCGAGCGCCTCGAGTACGTGGGCCAGGCGCAGCGCGCCGTCGAGGCCGCGGCCGCGGTGGCGGTGAGAATGAAGGCGGCCGAGGACGCGCTCGAGACGCACCGTAACGCGTCGGCGGAGGCGGCGGCGCGCCACGAGCGCGATTTGGCGCAACTCGCCGCGGACCGCGACGCCACGGCGGCACGCGCCGACGCGCTCGAGGCGCGGAGACCCGCGGACGCGACGGAAAAGGTCGCGAGTTTGGAGCGACGCCTCGACGACGCGGAGACGCTCTGCGCGTCCCTCAAGGAGCTCCTCGCCGCCAAGGACGCGCAGACGCGCGAATTGCTGGAGAGCGCCGCGGCGCGGCAGGCGCCGGCGGCGGCCGGCGACCTGCCGGCGACGAAGGGCGGCGCGGGCGCCGCGTGGCGGCGCCGCGTCACGTTGGAGACGGCCTCCATGGGCGTGAGCCTCGGCGTCCTCGACGGCGCCCTGGTCGTCGCCGAGGCGCGGGGCGACGCGGCGGCCGCGGGCCTGGAGGCCGGCGACGTCGTCGTGTCCGTCGGCGACGAGGACGCGACGGACCTCGAGCCCAAGGCCGCGGCCGCGAAAGTCCGCAAGGCGCGCGACGCGGGCGTGCGCGACATCGACTTCGTCTTCGCGCGGCGCCTCGGGCCGCGGGAGCCGGCCCCGGAGTCGACGCCCGCGGCCGACGCCGCGGCGGCGGCGCTGGAGCGTTCCGATCGGGAGGCCGCGCTGGAGCGCGAGCTCGAGGGCACGAAGCGCGCGCTCGACAAGGCGGCCGCGTTCGCCCGGTCGCTCGACGCGAAGCACAAGGAGAGCCTGCGGCGCGAGAAGGTGCGCCACGAGCTCGTGGGCGACGCGAGCTCGCGGGCCGACGCCCTCGAGAAGCAGCTGGTGGAGGCGAAGATGCAGCTCGCGCAGACGGCGCTCGAAAACGGCGAGCTGCGGATGCAGCTCCGTAATTCCTAGGAGGTGTTAGCTACTATCGTCGCGCTTCTCTCGCTTTGCGGATGCAGCTGCGTAATTCCTAGGAGGTGTTAGCTACTATCGTCGCGCTTCTCTCGCTTGCGCTTCTTCTTCTCCTTCTTCTTCTCCTTCTTCCGCTTCTTCTTCTCCTTCTTCTTCTTCTTCTTCGCGGAGGACGACGACGAGTCGCTGTCGCTGTCCGTGTGGAGGCTCGCGTGCGTCTTCGACGCCGCGTCGAGCTTCGCCTGGCGCTCGGCGTCGAGCTCCTTGCGGTAGGCGAGCATCTTCTTCGCGTCGGCGCCGGCGATGTCGAGGCGGTCCTCGTTGTCCTTCTTGTACTGCTCCCACGTCGGCCGGTTCTTGTCGTTGATCTTGTCCTCGATGGTCCGCTCGCCCTGGCCCGTCTGCAGCCGCATGAACGCGTCGAAGGCCGCGGACCGGTCGCCGCCGGAGTTCGGCGGCGGCGCGGCGAGCTCGCGCTCGAAGCGGCTGTCGTCGACGTGCCGGTCGCTGACCTTGCTGTAGTCGACGCCGGCGCCGGACGTGCCGCGCAGGTCCTTGTCGAGCGCCCGCAGCTCGGCCTCGCGGTCGCTCTTCGACTTTTTGCGCTTCGGCTCGGCGCCGCCGGGCGGGCCGGACGGGCCGATCATGGCGTGCGGCGCGGCGCGGCGCAGCTCGCACCTCAGCGGTGGGCTTGGAGGGTAAACACGGTCGCTTGAATAATTCTTGAATCAGCGTTGAAGCCCAACAGCATGGCGTCCTGATCGGCGGATCTGTGGGCAGCTTCGGCATGGCTCCCGGGAGCAGCCATGACACGCTCCTCAAGGGCTTTCTCATGGTCTTCGGCTGGGGCATTTTCAATCTCTGCATGCACCTTCATGATCCTCGTGGCGGCCGTCTGCGAGGGCAAGATCGCATGCACCGGCCAGCGCCCGCACTTCGTGGCGACCTGGTTGATCCTGACGCAGCTCTGGTCGCTCGCGACGGCCGTCCTGATCCACAAGATCACGGAGAAACGCGGCGGCGCCGAAAAAGTGCTCCCCAGGACCGCCGCCGCGACGGTCGACTGGTCCGACGCGGCGGCGCTCGACGCCGCGTTCGCGAACTGGGTCGAGTACGACTCGAGCTCCACGCACGCCGTGCTGCACAGCTCGCTCGGCGTCTGGCTGTCGCCCCACTACCCGATCCTCGGCTTCGCGCTGTGCGCTTTGAACGCGCTCGCGCTCGTCGGCTTCGCGCGGTTCTTCTCCGCGTTCTATTGCGCCGCCGCCGTCGTCTGCTGGTGCGGCTGGTTCGCGACGGGCGTGCTGACGCTGCGGGGCCAGCGCCGCCGGAGCCGGCCGCTCTTCCTGGCGACGAACGTCGTCATCGGCGTCGCCTGCGCCGCCGAGGCGCTCTCGTCCGTCGGCCGCGCGTCGGCCTACTTGGTCGCGTTCAACCTGCTCTGGGCCGCGACCTGCGGATTTGGCCTCGGCGTCGTCGTCGCCGTGTTTCCGCACAAAACCAACTCGTGGCGCGCGACGCTCGTCAGCTTCAAGCTCTGGGACTCGGGCGGCGCGGTGCTCTGGGGTCTGTTCTACGTCGCGCGGCCGACCGTTGGCGCGCTCTACCTGTTCTTCGGCATGTCCTACCTGGCGTCCATGTCCACGACGTTGAGCGTGCTGAGCGAAGCAAAGTATCGCGAGGTGCTGAGGCGCGCGGATTATCTCGCGCGGAGCGACGCGCGACGCTACGACGACGTCTGGGCCGCGCTCGCGGCGCCGCGGCCGCCGGTCGCGAAAGTCGTCGAGGACGGCGGCACGGGCCCGACGCCGGCGCGCGCGCTGGGCTGGACGCCGCGGCCCCTCGCGGAGCAGGTCGCGGACCTCGGGGCCGCGTACGCCGCGGCCATGGCCCCGGCGGAGCGCCGGCAAAAGCGCCAGCGCGCGGCGTCGGTGGGCGCGCTCTTCCGCGAGGCCGTCGACCTCTTTCCGCTCGTCTTCGCGAAACTCGAGGCGCTCAAGGGCGGCGGCGAGCTCGGCGGCGGCGTCAAGGGCGTGCCGCGCGCGTTCCAGAAGGCCTGGCGCTCCTACGCGGGCGACCACCGCAAACTGTGCGACGTCGTGCGAGCGAGCCTCGTCTTCGACGACGTCGACGAGATCGCGGAAGCGCTGAAGCGCGTCGTCGACGACCCGGACCTCGTCCTCGTCCCCCAGGCCCCGGACAAGAACCGCTTCGCGGCTCCGGCGGGCGTCTTCGGGTACCGCGACCTGCAGCTCGCCGCCGTCCTGCGCACGGACGAGGCGAAGAAGCGGAAGCTAGATGGGCACGTCTTTGAGATCCAGCTCCACCTCCGCGCCTTCGAGCACCTCAAGCGCGAGGGCGGCGGCCACCGGACGTATGTCTCGAGCCGCAATCTGCGCTGCTCCTAACGTGTTAGTCGGTCTTCGGCCGCTTCGGCGGCGGCTCGTCGCCGTCGCGGGGCGTGCGCGGGAGGCCCCGGAGGTAGTCGACGAGGTCCCGGCCGAAGGTCGCGCGGGGCGACGCGGCGTCGGCGTCGGCGGCGCGGACCATGCGCGCCATCACCTCCCCCGCGGGCGCCGTCCGCGCGTTCAGGGCCTTGGAGATGGACAGGAGCCGCTTCGCATCGGCCGGCTTGAAGCCGTCGACGTCGACGCGGAGGTCCGGGCAGGCGCAGGCGAGCTGGACGACGCGCAGCACGGGCTCCGCGGCGTCGAGGAACGTACTGGCGCCCCAGGGCCCGTCGACGCACAGGGGAAGCCCGCCGCCATCTCCAAGGCCCTGAACGCGGAGGGCCGCGGCGACGGCCTCGCATTTCAGCTTCGCGGCCGCGAGCGCTTCCGGCGCGCGCGCGTCCTCGAAGCGCGGCGCGTCGGCGACGACGACCGCCGAGTACGCGGGGTCTCTCCGCGCGACGGCGAGCGGCGCGCCGCCGACGTCGAGGCGCCGTGCCGCGTTGAAGATCGCGGCGGCCTCGTTCGCGGCGAGCGGCGCGGAAAAGTAGTGCGCCGCTAAAAGGGCCTCGGGCCGCGCGTACAACGCCAGATCCGTCGCCGACGCGCCGCGGCCGTTGAAGATCGACGCCGCGAAATTCGCCGTCGCGTCCGGCGGCAGGACGGGGTAGGGGAAGACGTCCGTAATGCCGCCGACCGCGCCGAACCACACGCGCCGGTCTTCGTCGCCGCTCGCGTCTTCGTCGTCGCCCGCGCGCCAGAGCTTAAAGCCGACGCCGTCGCCGTCTTCGACGTCGCGCGTCGCGTCGAAGTAGTACAACAGCGCGAGGAGCTTGGCTTCCGCGCAGGTGCCCGCGGACACGTAGAGCGGGTCCTCGGCGGTGCCCGAGACCAAGTCGAGCGCGCCGCCCCGCGGCGTATTGAGGAAGAAGGCCGACGCGAGCGCCGCGCGCGCGGCGCGGTGCGAGACGACGGCGCCGAGATGCGTGGCCTCGGAGCCGAAGGTGCCATCGTTGCTGCTCGGGGAGATCTGCGCCGGGATGGCGACGTCGTCCGTCGCGCTCCGCCAGACGCTCGCGAAAAGGTCCGCGGGCGATGCTCCCGTCGCCGCGGCCCAGGCCCGCGTCGCGCGGCGCAGGGCCTTGAAGCGCGCGAAGCGCACGGCCGTCGGCGCGACGGCCGCGCCGCGGCAGACGCGCGCCATGACGTCCTCGACGGCGAACCACTCCGCGTCGTCGTCGGGGAAGGGCTTCTTCGGTTCGGCGGGCGCGGCTTCCGTCGCCGCGGCTGCGTCTTCGGCCGCGGCTTCGGTCGCCGCGGCCGCGAAGCGTGCTGCCGTGGCTTCGTCCTCGGATGTTCGCGGTGCCGCCATGGCACGTTTTGCCATGAGCTCCCAGTGCTGCTTGACGGCCACGTCGCTCCGGCCCGTGCCGAGGAGCTCCGCGACGCCTGACGTCACGTTGCCGCGCTCGCCGACGATGTCCCGCAGCTTCTGCTCCTCCTCCGTCGTCCAGCGGCCCGGAGGATTGAATGCGGCGGTCGGAGGCGCTGCCGCAGCCGACGCAGAGGCTGGTGGCTGCGGAGGCGATGGTGGCGGGTCGGAGGATGGCGGGGCCTCGTCATCGATCAATTCAGCGTTTGGCGTGAGCACTGGGGCGGCTAAGCGTCGCGCCGGGTCTAATAAGAACGCCGCAGCGAGCTCGGCCGGAGAGATGCGCCGCACGGGAGCCGGCGGCTCCATGCTCTAAGTGGCAGCCTTGAATGCTTGGTCATCTTGGTCATTCTCATTCAGCGATGGGAGCTATGGACGCGCTCCAGGCCACGGTGGAGAAGGCCTGCGCGAAGCGCAACGCCGCGCGATCGAAGAAGAACTACGCCGTCGCCGACGAGCTGCGCGACATGCTCACGGACATGGGCGTCGTCATCCAGGACACGTCGCCGACAACGTCGTCCTGGACCTGGTCCAAGGCTGCGCAGCTCGAGGGCACGAGCTCCGAGGAGGAGGAGGAGGCGCAGCCGGAGGATGAGGAAAGCGAAAGCGGCGAGGACGACGACGACGAAGAGGAGGACGACGACGACGAGTCCGAGGAGGAGGAGGCGCCGGCGCCGCCGACGAAGAAGCGCGCGGCGGAGGCGCCCGCCGAGGAGCCGTTCAAGAAGAAGCGCAAGGAGATGCGCGGCGGCGTCGTCGCGACGATCCTCAAGCCCGGCAAGGGCGCCGCCGCCGCGCCGAAGCGGCGCGTGACCATGAAGTACGCGGGCACCTTGGCGTCGAACGGAAAACAGTTCGACGCCGGGAAGATCACGTTCAAGCTCGGCGCGGGCGAGGTCATCAAGGGCTGGGACGTGGGCTGCGCGGGCATGCAGGTCGGCGAGCGGCGCCAGCTCTTCATCCCGTCGAAGATGGCCTACGGCGCGCGCGGCGCGCCGCCGGACATCCCGAAACACGCGGACCTCAACTTCGACTGCGTCCTCCTCAAGGCCTAGGTTCGATGCCTAAGTTGAAGCGGTGTTTTACATAGCCAGGGCCGGCGGGATATGTTAGTGTCGTCAAAGCCTAGGCGCGTTTAATTAAGCGGGGGCGATGGACGCGAGGAGCTTGGCGCGGAGCGGCGCGAACTGGCGCGTGCGGAGGCAGGCGACGGCGAGCTGGCCGCAGTCCGGGTCCCAGAGGCCGGCGAGGAGCGGCGCCCAGTCCGTGCCCGCGAACTCCGCGGACAGCGTGAGCTCGTTGGCGAAGTCGAGCGCGGCCGCGCGCACCGCCGCGTAGGTTCCCGCCGCCTTGGCCCAGATCTCCTCCAGCTCCGCGGGCGACGGCGGCCCGCGGCGGGGGAAGGTCACGAAGGCGCGGTCCGTGGCGCCGAGGACGTCGAAGAAGACGGCGCGGGCGAGGCCGCCGGGCCGATCCTTCTCGACGGCGCGCGCGAAGGCGCGCTCGAGGTCGCGGCGGGGCCCGAAGCCGCGCTCGTCGTCCTTCGCGACGAACCAGCAGCGGGCGACGTCCGCGGCGACGACGTCGCCCGACGCGCTCAGGTCGAAGAAGGTCTCCGGCGGCGCGCCGCGGAGCCAGTCGTCGCCCGCGGACCGCCGGTAGTCCGCGAGCGCCGCGGCCGCGGGCCCCGCGGGCTCGTCCGCGGCCTCGTACGCGCGCTCCGCCGCGGCCCAGTGCTGGCCGACGATCTCGGCGATGGGCCAGAGCGTCGCCGACGTGACCAGGGCCGGCGACCGTCGCAGGTGCACGAGGATCCGGTGGAGAAAGATGGAGCGGCGCGCGGGGCCGCCGCCGAGGAGCTCGGTCATCTTCTCGTCGATCATCGTCCTCGCCGCGGCGAGTTTCTCCTCGGCCCGCAGCTTCAACGCGCGCCCGTCGCGGATCCTCTCGAACTCCGCGCGGCGCTTCGCGTGTCGTCGTTCCGCGTTCTCCCGCCAAAACCGGTCGAAGCGATTGAAGAATTCCGCGTCGTCCGGCGGCCGCCGCTCGCCCGGGAACGCCGCGTCGACGACGGCGTGGTAGTTCTCGTCCCCGTGGGCGACCTTGCGGACGATCATCGGGCCGTCGTGCTCCGCGAGCGTGAGCGCGGGGCCGACGCGCTCGCCGCCGGACCGGAACGGCTCGGTCCAGAGGCCGCCGATGCCCGCGCACGTCGAATGGCACGCGCGCGGGTGGACGTAGGCGCGCTCGGGCGCGTCGCGCGAGTCCCCCTCGACCTCCGTCGTCAGGGCGAGCGTGCACTTCCAGCAGCAGAAGACGCCGAAGGTCCGCAGGCTCCCGCTCACGGTCGCGGCGCCGCGCGACGCCGTGCTCCGGCAGCCCCTGACCTCGCAGCGCCGGCCGTTCGCGAGGCGGAGCAGGCGCAGGGGCGACGGCTTGCAGACGTGGCCGAGCCGGTAGAGCTCGACGACGTAGCCGAGCGTCTTCCGCGGCGCCGACGCGCCGCCGAGGAAGGCGGCGCGCAGCACGACCTCGTCGCTCAGGCACCCGGCGGTCCAGCTCGCGCAGGAGGCCAGGCGCAGCAGCGCGGGCGCCTCGAGGTATTCGGCGGCGACGAAGATGGTGTCGCGGTTCATCGTGGCGGTGGGGGTGCGCTCGTGCGCTCGCGGAAGGGCCGCCTCGAGGGCTGCCCCCGTGCGCTCGACCGCCGCTGGAGGCCTCGTCGAGGCTGCCTCGTTACGCCCGCGACGACGCCGCAGACTGCCGGAGACGCCGGCGTCGAGGGCTGCCGCTCTCGCGGTGTCAGGGCAGCCGAGCAGGGCAACACCCGGTGCACCTTCACGGCGCCCCTCGCCGGCGGCGCTCGAGCTTGAGCTTCCAGAGGTGGTGCTCGCCTCTTCGACCACCACGCGCGTCGCTGCCCGCGCAGACCGTCACGCGATTTTCGTTTAGCACGATGCTCGGGAGACTACTCGCCGTCGCGGCCGCGCTGGCCCCGGCCGCTTTCGGCCTCGTCGCCCCGGCGGCGCGGCCCGCGCCGCGGTCCGCGATGCGCATGTCGGCGCAGTTCGACGAGAGCTTGTTCGCGAAGCCCGCCGCCGAGTACAAGCTCGGCATGGGCCTGTCCACGCCGCCGACCATGGGCATGGGCCCCATGGCGCCGACGATGCGCGCCGGCGCCGCGCCGACGATGGTCGCGGGCGGCCAGGCGGCGGAGACGTACGACGGCGTCCGCATCGGCCCGCCGCCGGACCTCGCGAGCCTCCTCCTCCACAACCGCATCGTCTACCTCGGCATGCCCATGGTCTCCGCCGTCACGGAGCTCATCGTCGCCGAGCTGCTCTACCTCAACTACGAGTCGCCGACCAAGCCCGTCACGCTCTACATCAACTCGCCCGGCACCGTCAACTCCCAGGGCCAGTCCGTGGGCTTCGAGACCGAGGCCTTCGCCATCGCCGACTGCATGAAGTACATCAAGCCGCCGGTCCAGACCATCTGCGTGGGCCAGGCGTTCGGCGCCGCGGCGATGCTCCTCGCACAGGGCGAGAAGGGCAAGCGGTTCTGCCTGCCCAACGCGTCCATCATGCTCCACCAGCCCCGGTCCCAGGCCCGCGGCCAGGCCAGTGACATCGCCATCCGGGCCCGCGAGGTCATGTCGAACCGCAAGGTCTCGTGCGAGCTCATGGCCCGCGCGTGCGGCCGGTCCGTCGACGAGGTCATGGCCGACGCGTCGCGCACCAAGTACCTCCAGCCCGACGAGGCCGTCGAGTACGGTTTGATCGACAAGGTCCTCCACAACGTCGGCAAGGACGCGGCGGCCGCCGTCGCCAAGCCCTCCTTCATGGACGCGCTCTAGGCAGCGCCGCCCGCCGAACGAGGTCCGAGACCCCGCCCTAGACTTACGCCTTCGCACGCAATGTTTGTGGGGGCGCCGCGCCGGGAGTCAGGCCGCGAGGTAGACCGCGTATTCGGACTCGAGCTTGCGGTGGGCGAAGTGGGCGGGCACCTCCTCGCGGAGGAGCTGGTCGATCTTGACGTAGGACTTCTGGTGGAGCCAGGGCCGCCGCGCGACCTCGCGCTCGTTGAGCCAGAAGCACGACCAGAGGAAGGTCGTCCGCAGGAACTCGCGCGCGAAGGCCTCGCCGTGCTCGAGGCACCCGGAGACGCAGACGTCGACGTAGGTCTGGAGGATGGGGAAGTCGACGCTGGGCCCGACGAGCCCCAGGCCCGGCGCCTCGTCGGGCCGGAGGCCCCACGGCGGCGCGGCGCCGCTGCAGCGCGGCAGGCCCGTCGCCGGGTCGTCGCCGTATTTCGCGACGACGGCGGCGGCGTAGGGCACGTAGCAGAAGACCTTGGCGTCTTCCGGGAGCTCGTGCCAGCCGAGGAGCTCGACGTGTTTCCGGTCGACCTCGACGCGCGCGTAGCCGTTCTCGCGCGCGTCGAAGGCCGCGAGGTCGTCGGGCGCGGGGAAGAGCACGCCGTTGATCGTCGCGCCGCGTTCGCCGGGCCGCGTCCGCCGGAGGCCGAGCGCGCAGATCTGCGCCGTCGCCGCCTGGAAGTTCCATTCGCGCACGTAGCCCCACTCGCGTGCGATGCGGCAGGGCGCCGCGTCGACGGCGCTCGGGTCGGAGCCCGCCCGCGACGCGGTCTGGATGATGGACCCGAAGCCGACGAGGAAGTTTTTCACGGCGCGCCGCGGCGCGCGCGGCGCCGACGGCGGCGGCGCCTCCAGGCCGCGGGTCGGAAGCCCACCCTTGGTCCACGCCCATTTCCCGCAGCCGGCCATAGTCGTTCAAGTGGCAGCGATGGGCGAGGATAGATTCGCGCGGCCCCCCCATTTGCCCCCAGGCGGTTTTGCCAAGGAGCGCGTCGATTTTGCTCGCCTGCGGCACGCGGGCCCACGGCCGGCGCGCCTCCTCGCGGTCGTTGAGAAAATAGGTCACGCGCTTTTCCCGACCGGGAATGACGATGGACCAAAACTGGATCTGCCCGAGCCACTCCGCCGCGAAGGCCTCGCCATGCCGCAGGGCGCCCGTCACCAGCACGTCGACGTGCGACTGCAAGATCGGCATCGCGTAGTTCGGCGACCGCAGCTTGGCGACATCGAGGGCCAGGACCCGGACCTCCCGGAGCTCCGCCGGCGGATCCGTCCAGCCGAGCCAGTCGAAGTTGCCCGCAAAGGGCACGGCCGCGAGCGAGTCGGCGATGCGCGGGTCGACGAGGCCGGCGTCGCCGAAGGGCACGATGACACCGACGAGATCGTGCGCCCGCTCCGAGCCGGCGCCCACGAAGGCCGGGATGCTCGCGGTCTGCGCACCGATGGCGCTCTCGCTCTGATGGCCCCAAGCCCGCATGAAGCCGGCGCTTGCTTTCAGCCGCGCGGGGTAGGAAATCGTGAGCTGCCGCGACGCGTCGCCATCGGTCATCGTCGCGTTGTAGAAGTCCAGGTTCGCCAGATGGTTGCCGAAGAAGACCCAGACCGCCTGGTGGTGCGACGACAGCTTGCCCTCGCCGGCGACGCCACCGGCCGGGCATTCGCTCGGCCGCGGCAGCCGCGAGCGACGCCGACGCTGCAGCCAGAGGCTGAACCCACAGCCGATCGCCGCGCCCGCTCCAAAGGTGATGCCGCGAACGAGACCATCGTGTGGCATCCTGCTCCTCGGGCAGCACAATCAAGACAGCCGAGAGGGAGGCATCCCGCTTCGAATTCCGCTCGGAAGTCCGCTCGGAGGATGGTTATTAACTTCAAGGAGCAGATAAGGAGCATCGAGGATGAAGCGGCATCGCAGCATTAGACTCGTGCAACCCGTTACAGCTAGTTAGCAATAACGCGATAACACCCTAGCTAGCCAATCAAATAACACTAATAACACCCTGCCGATGGCAGCCACTCGATTTTTCAAAATCAATAACACCCTGGCGAAAATTCTCGATAACACCCATAACACCCAGCCACCCGATCCTTAAAAAGCCAATAACGACCTAACGCCCGTTAGCGGGCGACCGTCCGAGGCCAATAACGCCCTAACGGACTAACGGGTTGCACGAGCCGACAGCATGGGAAAGCTTGTTGGATTGTCGAGATCAGCAATGAGATGCTGGCCTGAGTCGCAGCGCTATGATGCCTTATAAGCAGTCGTGCTGGCTGACCATCATCACGGGCGTCGCAGCCGCGAGCAACAGCAGTGCGCGGCGGCACACCCGAAGCATCCGTTCCAGTGGAAGGAATGCATGCCGAAGCGCGCCGAGTGCGTCCCGCCGCAGGGCGTCGAGCTCATCGTCGTGCGCGGCACGGGCAACAAGTTCTTCGCGGAGGACGTGCTCGACCAGCTGAGCTACTTCGCCGCGGGCTCCGCGAACGCGCGCGACGCGTGCGCGGACGCGTCGACGTGGCGCTGGACCGAGGCGCGGTCCGTGGCCTTCGTGCCCCCCGCGACGGTCGCGGCGACGCCGCGGCCGCTCTTCGCGCTGCCGACGGGCCCGCGCGCGCGCGAAGCGTACGTCGCGATCCTGCGCCACCCGATCCTCCGCGTCGCGAGCCGCTACTGGTTCGAGGGCCGCTGGCCCCAGCACGCGCCGGAGCCGGCCGCCAAGCCGTCGCTCGGCGCCTGGGTCAACGCGACGAGGCTCCCCGCGCGCCAGTCCGGCGGCCACCTCTGGAACGTGCCGGACGACCTCTACACGAAGCAGTTCGCGGGCTGGCGCGACGGGCCCATGTGCCACCACGGGTCCGCGGGCTGCCGCGGCGGCCTCGCGGAGGAGAACCTGGAGAAGGCCATCCACGCCCTCGCGACGCACGTCGACGCGCTGCTCATCACGGAGTGGCTCGCGGCGCCGGGGCAGATCGAGTGGCTCGCGCGGAAGTTCTGCTTCGCGACGGACGGGCGCGGCGGCTTCGACGGCGCGACGGCGCCGTCCTGGTGGCATTTCCCCAACGCGCGGCGCGCCGGCGGCGGGCACCACGGCCGGCGCCCGGCGGGCTGGGCGCCCGACCTCGCGGACCTGGAGCTCCTCGTGGACCTCAACTCCTGGGACCTGCGGCTCTTCGCGTCCGCGGCGGACACCGTACGACGGCGCATCCGCGCGTCCGCCGGCGCGGCCCTCGCGGACGCGCTCCCCGCGCTCGCGCCGAGCGACGCGCCGGGCCTCCGCGCGCGGCTTCGCGCCTGCCCCGCGCCGACGGACCGCAGGACGGCGTGCTAACAAAAAATTGGTGAATTAGGAGCGTCGCGGACGCACAAGAAAAAAAAGGGGCGGTCAAAAAGCGCGACGTCGCGGGCGCGCGCGGCGTCACAGGAAGGACGCGATGGCGTCGAAGACGCGGTCGTCGTCGACCGCGGCCGCGCGGACGAGGAGGGACCCGCCGGCGGCGCGGGCCCGCTTCGCGCGGCGTGCGCCGCCGTCGCCGCCTCGACAGCGCTTCCGGAGGCCCCGGAGCTCGTCGCGCCGCCGCGCCTCCGTCGCGGCCGCGGCGTCCTTCATGCGGAGCGCGGCGACGCGCACGTGGAAGAGGGAGCTGATCTTCCGCTGGGCCTCGCCCCGCTTCAGGTCGCCCGGCGCCGCCTCGCCCTGGACGCTCCGCAGCACCTCGCGCACGAGGGCGTGCTCGAAGAACACGACCCACCGTTGGTGGATCGACGACGACGCGTGCTCGTATTTCTCGGCGTAGGACAGGGCGAGCTCGAAGGCGGCGTCGTCCTTCGACGGGGCCATGGCCTGCGCGTCGCCGAGGAGCTCCTGCGTGCTCGACGAACCGGCGCATCCCACGGGCAACGGGGAGTGTACCATCATTGTTCTGTAAGAATGTCCAACTTCCGTCCGGATCGATCATCAAGCGCTTCGTGTTCGAAACCAAAGTTACCGCGTTGGTGTTGAACACAAGATGATTTTGCCAGCGCAGAATGCTCATTTCGCCGGGGGTCATTTCAAAACGCGTCCCCGGGGCCCCGGCGGCCGACCCGCGACACACGAGCGTGGGCTCTTTCGTATATATCACAGCGGTGGGAGGGGCCCGCGCGTCGAGCGGCGCGCCGGCCGTCCGAATCTCCCCCCGGCCATCGCCGAGCGGTCCCCTTCGGAGAGAGCGGGCCGCTCAGCTTTGGATGAGGGGCGCCTTCTCCGTCGGTTTTCTCGGTCTCTTGATGCAGCAGCAGACCGTCTCCTCGGCCTGGCGGCCCTCCGTCTCGAGCGGGCTCTGCGCGGGACGCGGCGGAATTCGAAGCGCGAGGGGGCCTCCGGCGCGGCGCGCGCGCGCGCGCGGGTTCGGGGCGGCGGCGCCGCGGCGGGGGCGACGGCGCGCGACGAAAGTCGGGGGCGCGGACGACGCACCTTCTCCAATTCTTGCTGGCGCACCTTGTTGAGGCCCGCGACCCACTCCTCGGCGCTCGTCGCCGTGTCGGCGCGCATGAGGTAGCCCGGGTGCGCGTTGTCGGCGGACACGGGCACGATGCAGAAGAGGCCCGCGATGCCGTTGTCCACGAGCTTGATCTCGCGCGTCTTCCTCAGGTCGAGCATGTTGATCACGCGCGCCTGGGCGGACTCCGCGGGGCACGCCTGGTAGCTGTAGAGCACGTGGCGGTTGACCTCGAGCCAGCGCCGCACCCACTTGTCGTTCTGCTTCACCTTGCGGAGGACCCAGCCCGACGTCATGGCGAATGGGACGACCGCGCGCGGACCGGGGCGCGGAAACGGCGGTGGCGGAGCAGGCCTATCGCGAGTGGCCGTGGGCTGCGGATCCAGACAGCGGGCTGCACTAATGTAGTACGTTCAATATAGTTACTTGCACGTCAACACTGCGAGCTCGAGTTCAAGGCGAGCTCTGGGAGCGCGGCGCAGGACGCTGCTCGAGCGCAAGCGAGCTTTGGGAGCGTGGCAGAGACGCTGCCCGAGAGAGCGCGATGGCTAAAAAGAAGAAGGGCGGCAAGAAGCGCGGCGGCGGCGACGCGGGCAGCGCGACTGCTGCGGACACGGGCGGCGACGCGGGCAGCACTGCCGCTGAGGACACGGGTATGTCCGAATTCTTCGAGGACCATCCCCTAAAACCGGGGCAGCAATATCTGCCGAAGGACAGAGACCCTGCAAAGCGCGCCAGGCGGGCAGAGCTCGTCCTCTACGCCGAGCGCGAGCTCGAGGCGCTGCGCGCGCGCCAGGGCGGCCGCCTGACGGCGGAGCAGCGCACGGACAAGTGGCAGCTCGACTTCCGGCTCAAGTGCTTCCGGGAGAAGATGAAGGTCGACGACGCACCGACCGACGTGCCCCAGTTCGCCATCGCGCCGGCGCTCTGCGACGAGATGGTCGCGTCGCTCCACGCGCAGCTCTTCGACGGCGACCACGTCTACCTCGTGAACGGCCGCTCGAAGACCTTTGAGACGCTCGCCGAGCTCGAGCGCTGCAAGGTGCGCGCGAATCTGAGCTTCGGCGCCGGGGACTGGGCCGGCGCCGTCGACGGCTACTCGGCCGTGCTCGCCGTCCTCGGCCGCGCGGGGCGCCGCGAGGAGCGCGCGCCCGCGGACGAGCCCTTTTACGGGCCGACGCTCGCGACGACCTACGCGAACCGCGCGGCCGCGCTGCTGCGCGTCGCGGACCACGCGTCGGCGGTGCGGGACTGCCTCGACGCGCTGCGGCTGCCCGCGCTCCACGACGCGCCGGCGGTCAAGGCCAAGGTGCTGCGGCGCCTCGAGGCCTCCCAGAAACCGCCGTCGGAGGCGGCCCTGGCGGCCGCGCGCGAGCGGAAGCGCGCGGCGAAGCCCCGGCCCGCGCCGGACGCGGCGGAGGTCGACCTGCTCGTGCAGGCGTCGCGCGAGCACCCCGCCGCGAAGCCGCTCGCGCGCGAGACCGCCGAGCGGCTCGTGGCGCTCTGCGGCGGCTTCCCCGGCGCCATGACGGTGATGAGTCTCTACGCCGCCGACAACCCCTACGCGGAGAAGCGCGCGCTCGCGCGCAACGTGCTCGGGCACGGGTCCGCGGTCGTCGACGAGGCGGACCTCGACGAGCTCGAGGGCTTCTTCGACGGCGCGGCGGAGCGGCGCCTCGCGCGCGAGGCGGAGAAGCGCGAAAACGCCGCGAAGAGGGACGAGGCCCTCGCCGCCGTTGCGGCGGACGAGCTCAGACGCGACGCGGCGGCGCGCGGGCGCCGGCGACCTCTCCGAGGAGATGGCGTTGGCGCTGGACTGCGCGGAGGTCTTCTGGAGGAAATTGGGCGAGGCCAACGAGGGCGCGGACTGCGGCGACCCGGAGACCTCCGAGCGCGCGCGCCACGCGGCGCGGCTCGTGGCGGGCGCCGTCGAGCCGCCGGCGGGCGTCGAGCCGCCGCTCGTCGGCGCGCCGGCGCCCGCGGAGCGCGCGCCGCCGACGCCGCCGTCGCTCGAGACGCTCGCCGCGGACCGCCTCGCGGCCGCCGGCGTCGACCGGGGCGCGCTGCGGGCCGCGGGCGTGCCCGACGCGGCGACGGCGGCGACGCCGAAGGCGGCCGCGCCGGAGAGCCGGCAAGCGAAGCTCGCGACGAGCGCCGCCATGTACGCCGAGAAGGAGGCCGCCGAGCGGGGCAAGGCCGCGCTCGCGGCGGCCGTGCCCGACGACGACGTCCGCCCGAACACTTTGAACGAGTCCGCGGACTTCCGGCGCGAGGCGCTCGCGCGGAAGCGCCAGGAGGCCTTCCTGGCGTCGTCGGCGCACTGCGGCCAGGTCGTCGACGACCTCTGGCACGTGTCCCTCGTCGCCGGCGCGGGCTCGTCCGCGGCGCTCCACCCGGCCGCGGCGAGGATGCTCCCGATGTCGCGCGCGGCCGAGTTCCGGCCGCCGCGCTACGAGGTCTGCGCGGCGCCCGTGCCGCGGCCGGCGCCGCGCGACGTCCGCGGGTCCGTCTTCGGCGCCCGCCCCGCGGCCGACCGCGTCGACCTGCCGCCGCCGCTCGCGTCGCGCCACTTCGACGACGACCACGCGTCCGACGCGCGCGACGTCGCGCTCCGCCTGGTCCTCCTCGAGGCCGCGCGCCTCCGCGGCGGCGTGCCGAAGACGCTCGTCTTCGGCCCCTGCGGCGCCCTCGAGCTCTCCGGCGTCGTCCGGCTCCGCTCGCGCTTCGTCGACGACTTCGTCCGCGGCGTCCTCCGCGTCGGCGCGTTCCGCCTCGAGGGCTGGATCGAGGGCAGCATGGGCGGGCCGACGCTCAACTGGGGCACCTTCGACGATGCGGCCCACGACCGCGCGGCCGAGCGGCGGCGGCGCGAGGCGCGGGGCGACGGCGGGGAAGCGGAGGCCGCGTTCGTCGAAAACCTGGCGCGCCAGGGACAGCGCCGACGGAACGCGGGACTCGACATCGATGGGGAGGGATCGACCGAACACGAGGACGAGGACGACGCGGCCGAGCGACCGTCGTCGCCGGCGTCGTCGGGCGGCGAGTCCCTCGACGAGGAAGACGTCGCCTTCGCGAACTGGCTCGCCGGGACGCGCTCGCCCGCCGTGCATCGCCCGTAAAAGTGCTAGCTCTTAGTCTCCAGGATGTCGTCCTCCGTTTCCAGGGCCGCGACGTCGTCCTCGAGGTAGCCGTAGGTGACCTTCTCCGGCTCGCCGGCGACGAGGTCGTAGAGCGCGTAGGTCGCCTTCGGCTCGCGCTCCTCGAGGTCCGCGACGGGCTCGCGGAGCCTCGACGCGAGCGCGGCGGCGAAGGCGTCGTCGTCGAGGCGCTCGAACGTCGGGCCTCCCGGCGAGTCCCACCGGTCGTCGAACGTGTCGCTGTTGAACTCCGGCTCCGCCGCGAGGTCCCAGGCCTTCTCCGCGTCGTCGCTCGGCGTCTCGGCCGCCGCCGCCTCCTCCACGGAACCCCTCCTGATGACCACGAGCCGCAACGCGCGCTTTTTGGTTCCGGACCGCGACGCGGCGTCCGCGACCGCGGCGGCGACGGGGATCGCGTCCGCGAGCGACCAGGGCGCGGGCTCCTCGAACCGCGGGAACGCCAACCCCCGCTCTTCGGCCACGTGGTGGAGCTCGGCCGAGAGCAGCTCGTCGGCCTCCGTCGCGCCGGCGCCGATTGCTTTTGCGCGCCACCGCCGCGGCGCTCCTGCCGGGTCGACGTGCAGCACCGACGCGCCGCGGCCCCGGAACCAGCCCGCGGCCAAAAAGGCGCAGCCCAGGGGCCGCGCCGGCCGGTCCTCGGGGTCGTCGCTGCCGCTGAAGAGGCGGTCGAAGCCGTCGAAGGCGCACGCGGCGTCGGCGACGGCCTCGGCGACGACGTCCGCCGTCGGCGTGATGCCGTACTTCATCCACCAGCTCACGGCGGCGAGCCGCGCCTTGCCCACGGCCTGGCGCGCGTCGCCGGAGAGGCCGCTGTGGCCCAGCGCGACGTTCGGCGCGATCTTCGCGATCTTCTCCGCCTCGCCGTCGTCGCCGGAGGCCCAGCTCGGGCCCTCCGCGGGGCCGCCGCACGACGCGAGGACGCAGCCGTCGCAGGCCTCGATGGCCAGGACCTATAGAGTGGACGTGCGTTACAGTTGCGACGTCTCCAGCGCGTCGGGCGCCGCCGCGCGCGAGGCCGCCGCGCTCCGCCGCCTTCATGGCGTACATGATCTGCTTGAGGCGGTTGTCCGGCCCTTCGCCGGTCGCGCCGCGTGCGACGAGCGCGACGAGAACGACGAGGCGACGCATACTGCGCAAGCGTGTTGCGTTACGCTGCGCGGCCTTGCTGCTAGCGGTGATGCCTGCCCATGCCTTGCCGCAGCGATGCGTCGGCGAGCCGGTTCGCGGCGGCGCTCCGGAGCGTCTTGGGGACTGGGATGCACACTGGTGCGAACAAAAACGGCTTCTAGAATGGTCCTACCCGGCGGGCGTCTGGGGCGTCTCGAAGCCCGGCGGTCGGTACGCGTTGTACTCGCCCGCGTCGCCGGATCTCACGCAGAGGTACGACATCGCGAGCAGCCCGCCGGCGGCCATCATGTAGCCGCCGGCGACGCAGGTGTACCAGGAGTCGTACTGCCTCGCGAACTTGACACCGAGCACGAAGGCGAGGCTGCCGATGAAGATGTACGTCGCCGCGCGGCCGCAGCGCGACGCGAGAAACGGAAACCGCTTGTAAACTACGGGCGCGTCGAGTTCCGCCAAGGTCGTCACGAGGCCGAAACACGCGACGTAAAAGCTCACCAGCGTGAAGACGGGATCGATCTGGTGCTTCCTCTTGTAGGTGTGCCAGCTGAACCAAAAGCCGTAGCAGCCGATGGACGTCGACGCCACGGCGCCGATCAAGCACAGGGCCTTGATCCATCGCACAACCAGGTCGCGCTTGCCGCCGAGCGGCCCCGGCGCGGACGGACGCGCGGGCTCAGCGACGGGTAGCAAGGCGTCGTCCATTAGATTACACCAGATGGGCAGCTTCTCGCGTTCAAGTGAAGTGTAACATGCCTTGCGTAAAAAAACTTCGTCGGGGCAGCCCACCTTCGGCTCCACCCGAGCTGTTGCGCCGCGGCGGCCCGCCATGGAGCTCCACAAGTTCGACCCGGAGAAGCACAAGCACCGGCGCGTCTGGGTGGCCGTGGCCGCGACGCTGCTGGCCCTCCAGGCGGCCCTCGCCGTGCGCTTCGTCCAGGTGAGCGTGCGCCAGGAGAAGCAGCGGAACCTCGACGACGAGGACTTCGACTTCCTGGGCGTCGTCTGCAACGTCGCCGCGTCGACGGCGACGAGCGGCGGCTACGCCTACTACTTCGCCGTGCCCGGCGTGACGAACCTCAGCTTCGCGTACGACAACGAGACGAGCGCCGACGCGTGGGCCGCCGCGGGCTACAAGCTCTCGAAGACCATCGAGGCCGACGACGACGACCCGACGCCGGACAAGAAGGCCATCGGCGAGCTGTCCGGCTGCTGGGCGCCGAAGAAGACCGTCGACGAGACCTTCGACTGCGGCGACGACGCGGACTGCTACAAGATCTTCGACCCCGACGACGACCTCAAGCACGCCGGCAAGCACTGGAGGACGCGGGGGGTTCGCGCCCGGACGCGCCCCGGACGCGCCCGGACGCCCGGCGGACACGCCGGACGCCCGGACGCGCCCCGGACGCGCCCAGGACGCGCCCAGCAGCAGTCCGAGGCGCCCAGAGTACTCGCTGATGCGATTTGGAGACTAGCTATAGATTGACATTACTGTAGTGGAGCCAGCAGCCACCTCCCGCGGCGGGTAATGGAGCACGCGTGGCGGTCGGTGGGGGACGGGGCGGCGGTAGCCTCGACCGCGCGTCGCGCGTAGGGGGCGTGGTCGCTGCGCTGCGAGCGGTGAATTTGCGGTCGCGGCCGGCCGGCACAAGGTCCTCGCGGAGTTCCTGAGACGGGGTTCGCGCGCGCGAACCTTTTCGCCGGGTCGTGGGTCGTGGCGTCTGGTCTGAGGGTTGTTCTCTCGCCGGGCCTCGCGTCAGCCCCGGCACGCCCCGGCAGCACGCCGACGGACCTGGAGCTACGGGGCAGCCCTTGGAACGAGCAGATGATGCGGTGCGAGTCGGCGTGCGAGCGCGCGCCGCTATGGGGCGCGCCGCCGATTCTGCGGGCCGAGTTGTAGCTACGCGTTCCTGAAATGCGTAGCCTGTTCAACCAGTCCGCTGCGGGGCACGGCGACGGCCGCGGCAGCGTGTCGCAGCACAGCCAGTCGAAGCAACCGCCACTCTGCCGAGGATCGACTGTCCGAGCTGCACGTTATAATTGTGCAAGTCTTGGCGCGGCTGCCCAACGCCGGCGTATGGACGCCGCGCGCGCCCGTCGCAGACCAAGAGAACGCGCCCGCCGCTTCACCATCGCCCCTCTGAACAGCGGGTTGTCACGACGCAGGTGCTCGGGCTCGGGCAGCCCAAAGAAGCGTGCTGCCTCTGCCGTCGAGCGACGGATGCGCTGCGCGCCGCCGAAGTCCACGTCGATACAAACCCTAGGCACAAGGAAGCCTCGGTGGCCCGTGGGCGGGCGCGTGGCGCCAGTCCTTCGGCGGCCTCTACTGACGGCGACGCAAGCACCTGCGAGCCTTGCGCGCTCACCGACTCGCACGCCCGTGCTCCCGCGCATGAGTTCGCGTCCAGTGGAACTCGCACCGCGGTCGCCGTGGCCCTCTGCCGATGAGAACGCATCGCGCGGCCAACTCGCGCGTGCTCCGAAGTGCCGAGGAAGAACCGAGGCGCCGCCGTCGCGAAGGAGCGCGGCGCGTTTCGCCGCGGCTGACCGCCCCGCCCGCGGCCGAACTCTGCCGGACGCCTCCCAACTCGAGCACTCTTTCCCGCACTTCCCCCGGGAGGGGGCACTTCCCCGGCGCCCCATATCCACCCGCGGACATAAACTTTTCTGCACCGCGTCTGGCGAGACGCGGCCTGTCGACCAGCTCCGGAGCACCCACGTTCGGCTCTCGGGACCTGTCTGAGGACTCCGCATGCGTCCAGGCTGGACGCCCCCAGGACGCCCGCCGGACGCCCGGACGCGCCCAGGACGCGCCCAGGACGCGCCCGGACGCCGGCCGGACACCCCGGACGCCCGGACGCGAACCCCCCGCGTCCTCCACTGGTTCTTCTTCCGGGCCATCGGCCTCTTCTTCGGCGCCGTGGCCCTCTTCTTCACCGTGTTCCTCGTCGCCTTCTTCGCCTTCGTCAGCGGCGGCTTCCGCGCCGCGCCGGAGGGCGGCGGCGACGACGCCGAGGTCGAGCTCCACAAGGGCGCGCCCGAGGCCGAGGTGTAACGGCGTACGGAAACACGGCAAATTTTACCCCGGCGGCCATCGCCCGGCGTCCCCGCAGACCAGGTCCGCGTAGAGGGACTCGTGGGCCTTGACGGGGTCGTCGAGGGCCCGCGCGACGTCCGGCAGCGCCCGGCTCGTCCGGAAGGCACCGAGCTCGACGTCGCAGTCGCCGCCGCGGCCGCGGAGGAGGCCCGCGTCGCCGACGAGGCGGAGGAGCTCGTCCCCGTCGTAGATGTAGCCGCCGCCGTGGCCGTAGTCGTGGAAGAGCGCGTTGAGCAGGGCGGGCCCCGTCCTCCGCAGGTCGCCGTTGAAGCCGGCCATGGGCCCCGTCGTCATCGCCGCGTGGTGCGCGTCGACGAACGCGCCGGCGGGATCCGCGTACGCGGCGACGTAGAGCGCGAGGTCCGGCGTCGACAGGCGCACGACGCCGCCGCCGGCGCCCAGCAGCCGCCGCGCCTCCCGGAGGAACGCGAGCGCGCCGGCGCGGGGCACGTGCTCGATGAAGTGCTCCGCGAAGACCCAGTCGAACGAGCCCGCCGCGACGGGGAACGGCCGCGTGGCGTCGTGCTGGAGGAAGAAGCGGAGCGGCGCCGCGGCGTCGTCGACGGCCACGCGCGCGAAGGGCGCGCTCGCGCTCGTACCGACGCCGCCCGTCGCGACGCCGTCGACGTCCGTGTTCAGGCAGCCCGCGGGCAGCCCGAGGCCCGAGCCGACGTGGAGGCCCCGCAGGCCCAGCAGCCGCCAGGCGCCCGCGTCGTCGCGCGCGGGCAGCGGCAGCAGCGCGAGCTCCGGCGGCGACGGCGCCGCCGCCGCGACGACGCACGCGAGCGCGGCGCACCGGCGCATCATCTCATTGGGGAGATTCCCCAACCGCCCTTCTCGGGCGTCAACGAAAGAGTTGCCCCGCAAATACGGAACGAACTGAAATCTTGGCCCTCGTCGGCCGCCTCTCCACCACACAACGGATCGGAGCTCGCGCGCGGCGCAGGTGACTTTGTTCGCCGACGTTGGGGCAGCCCCGCGCTGCGGCTCCGAGCGTTTCTTTTCGAGTTCGCCCGCCGGCGCCGACCGACGCGGCGCCGCTTCGAGTCGTCGGCGGGTGCCGTGCGCGTCTCCGCTCGTCGCGCGGCGCGGTGCCATGGGGCGCATCTCGTCGCACGACTTTGGGTCCATGGACGACAAGCTCTGGCTCCTGGAGAACCTGTTCAAGACGCAGCAGACGCAGGCCGAGAAGGTGCCGGAGCTCAAGACGACGGACCTGACGAAGCTCGCCGAGGCCTTCCAGCCCGTGACCTACGCCGCCGACGACGTCGTCATCCTCGCCGGGGACGAGGACGAGTCGCACGCGCGGCTCGTGCTCTTCCGGACGGGCGGCGCGGAGGTCAACGCGGCGCTCCTCGACGACGACCACGCCGACGCCGACGGCGGCAAGCGCAAGTCCATCAAGAAGAACAAGCGCATCACGCGGCTCAAGTCGCCGTTCTACGTCGGCGAGGGCTGGATCCTCACGGGCAACACGCCCAAGGCGTCCGTCAAGGCCACGGGCACGGCGGAAGCCTATGCATTACCCAAGGAAGAGGCCAAGCGCCTCACGTCGGCGGGGAACACGTCCATCAAGCTCATCCAGCGCGACCTGAAGATCTGCGCGTTCGAGCGCGCGCACCTGCACGGCTTCGTGAACACGCTCTTCCAGAAGAACCTCGACGACGACGATTTGATGGCGGCGTTTGATGGCTACGGCAAGGAGGCGTTTTGCACCGAGAGCTTCGACTTCTGCCGCGAGGTGCACGCGTTCAAGAGGGACGTCGTGGGGTTCGACTTTCCCCTCCTCTAAATCGCGGCTCGCGAAGATCTCCGAGGCCTACTTCCAGTCGGGCATCCTGAACCTGAGCGCGAAGCAGCGCAAGGCCCTGGACAAGGCCAAGGACGACGCCGAGGCCCAGGGCGACTCGAAGATCCTCGTCGAGGGGCTCGAGAACCCGCTCCAGCAGGTCTACAAGGAGATCCAGCAGTCCCAGATCACGCCCTTCATGAAGTCGAAGCACTACGACGACTTCCTCGCGAAGAAGTTCCCCATCCCCGTCGTCCGGCGGACGCTCCTCGTCAGAGCGGCCAAGGGCGGCGGCGGCGGCGGCAAGGACGACTCCGGCGCGTGCGTCGTCTCCTAGGGACGCGGCTAACCCCGGACGCGAAAATTCCCCCGGACGTGAAAATCCGATCGTAGACGGGCGCGCGCCCCGCCCCCTTAGCCGCAGGCGCACTTCTTGGGCTTGGCGTCGTCGGGCGAGATGACGAGGTTCGCGCCGCCGCCGGGCGCGCCGGCGTCGGAGGACGCGGCGGTCTGGAGTTTCCGTCGCACGATCTTCGCGGCGAGCTCCTCGAAGGCCGTGGCCACGTTGACGTTCGTCTTGGCGGACGCCTCGTAGTGGTCGACGCCGTACTCGTCCGCGAGCGCGGCCGCGTCGGCCTCGGGCACCTGGCGCTTGTCCGCGGGCACGTCGCACTTGCAGCCGCAGAGCGCCACGTCGACCTCGCCGCGCTTGTGGCGGTTGATGTCGCCGACCCAGGACCGCACGTGGTCGAACGACGCGGAACTCGCGACGTCGTAGCACACGACGAAGCCGTCGGCCTTGCCGAAGAAGTTGGCCGTCAGCGACCGGAAGCGCTCCTGGCCCGCCGTGTCCCAGATCTGGAGCTTGACGTTCTGGTCGTCGATGGTCACGAACTTGTCCCGGTAGTCGACGCCGATCGTCGTCATGTACTTGGTGCTGAACGTGTCCTCGTCGTACCTGCGGCGACGGGGGTCGCGGGTTCGAATTGTGTGTTGTGTTGTGTCGTGACGCACCGCACGACGAGCGACGTCTTGCCGACGGAGCTGTCGCCGATCATGAGGATGCCTGCGGGGCGGTCGTGAGGGGCACCAGGGCGTGGCGCGGCGGGGGCGCCGCGGCGCGCGGATCACCATGCGGCTCTTCTTGTCGGCCATGGCGCGTTATAAAGGTGGGTTCGCGGCGTGGTTAGTGTGCTTGTGTGTGTCGTGTGGGTGCGAGCGGTCGGATCCAGGCGCCACGAACAGGCGACGCGGCGTCCTCCAGCTCCACTCCGCCACAGGCACCACCCGCTCAAATCCCAAAACCCCGGGGCCCGGCGACGGCGCCGCGGGTCCCGCAGCGAAGCGAGGGCGTGCCGAAGCGTCCGGAGCCGGGTGCCACAACAGGCAGTGAGGCCTCTCTCACCGGGTCGAGACGCGCGACTTCCCACACCCGGCGAGCGCCGCGAGGCGCCGACGCGGCGCGGTGGCGTCCACGACTCCCGCGGCACCAGAGTCCCGCCCGGCTCGCCGGGGTCCCGGCCCGACAGCGCGACGCGCCGATGGCCGCTCGAGCATCCTCGCGCCAGAGCGAACCCGCGCCGCCAAATAGCAAGCCCAAACCGACGCAAAGAGGTTGTGGATCAGCATGGTCGGGGCGGCGCGTCGCTCGCCCGCGCCGCCAAATAGCAAGGCCAAGCCAACGCGAAGAGGTTTTAAATCAACATGGTCGGGGCGGCGCTCCTTCTTGGTGCTTGCGCGGGCGCGCGCCGTGGGCGGACGGGGCGCGGACGAACGGGAGGCTCCCGCCCGCCGTGGGGTCCGCGAGGGACGCCGCCTAGAGGCAGCCCGGGGCGCCGGGGACGTCTCCCGGCTTCTTGTTGGCCTCGATCTCGGCCATGATCTCCTTCTCGGCCATCATCGCCGCGAAGTCGACGTCCGGGCGCTGGGGGTCCTTGTACTTGCCCTCGCCGGGGAAGTAGCCGGAGCAGTCGCAGGCGTTGCCCGTGGGGTCGCGCTCGAACCTGCGAGCGGCGCGGCGGGTTGCGAAGAGCGCGCGCGCGGCGGCGCCGGACCGAGTCGGCTCGGAAAATCGTCGGACGCGGGCCCGCGCGGGTTGAAGTTCGTCTCGGCGCGGGGGGAGTTGGGGTCCCAGGCGCCCCAGACGTCCTTCTTGGCGGCCATGTCCCACATCTGGCCGTCGTACTTGCCGTCGGCGTAGACGACGGTGGCGGCCTTGGGGAGCGCCTTGGTGGGGGCGAACGCCGCGACGGGCGCGACGAGGAGGGCGAGAGAGAGCTTCATCGTGTCTGCGAGGGGCGCGGGGGTCGGGGGGGAAGCGGCGCGGGCTGGGAGGCCGCGCGGCGGGCGGGCGCGCGGGTGCAAAGGACGCTGCCGTCGCACCTTGCTTGGTGGTCAGTGCGTCGATTGCTGTCGTCACATCAAGGTCTCAGGATCGGGATAGAGAGAGTTTTGTGGCAACATGGACCGCTCGTATCCGCGTTGGGTACCCATCGTGGTTTTGGGCTGCCGCGGCGAACGACGCCGGCGGCGGTGGCCCGCGCGCGCCGGACGTCTTCGCGGGGCGGCGCCCACCCTACAACACCGGCATCGATGATGGACCTGCAGAAGCCGGGCCTCTTCGTCCAGACGGGCCCGTCGACGCCGCGCGACGCGCACCACGACTGGGACGAGGAGGCGCGCAAGCTCTTCCAGCGGCTGAACATCGACGCGGGCGGCGGCCGCGACAAGTACCGCAACGTCGACGCCGTCTACTGCCACCCGACGACGGGCGCGAAGCTCTTCATCGGCAACCAGACGGCCGCGCGGTCCGAGAGCGTCCTCGTCGGCGAGGCGATCTTCCACGTCGTCAACTGCCAGGACGCGTCGTCGGCCAACTTCTTCGAGGGCGACCCGCGCTTCCACTACCGCCGCTTCCCCGTGTCCCACTGGTGGCAGCACGACGGCATGGACGCGCCCGACGGCGTCCTCAAGTTCTTTGAGGACGGCTGCCACGCGTGGATCGCGGACGCGCTCGCCGGCGGCCACAACGTCATGGTCCACTGCCTCGCGGGCGCCCACCGCGCGGGCACGACGGGCGTCTCCTTCATGATGCGTGCGGCACCGCCGCGTCCCTCCTTCGTTCTTTTTCTTTCGGAGTCTTCGCTCTTTAGGCGAGGGCCGCTTCGACACGGCGACGGCCATCAAGCTCGCCAAGTTCCAGCGGCCCATCGTCGACCCCTTCGGCCAGCTCCACGAGCTCCTCATGCGCCTCGAGGCCGCGTACACGGCCAAGGGCCGACCACCCGTGGCGCCGAACGCGGACGAGCCGTCCTCATGACCTCGCCCCGCGCGCGCGCGGCGGGCGGCCGCCGCGACCTTTACATAGCCAAGTCGCCGTGTAGTTTTCGGGGCGACGGCGCGGCGTGGCGGCGCACGGCGTTTTTGCCACTTCGGCAAGCGGCGCGCCTCCCGAGGACCCCCGGCGCGGCCTCGGAGCGGAGAGGTCCTCGTCGAGCGGGAACCAGAGCTCGAGGTCCTTGTCGAGCGGGAACCAGAGCTCCTGCCTCGTCGTCCCGGTGCCAGACGACGCCCCACCGCAACTTCAAAACAAGCACCATGGCCAACAAATCCGCGACGGCGATCCTCGTCGACGCCAAGGCGCTCCGCCGCGACCACGGCGACGCCATCCTCGAGGCCGCCGTCGAGGTCGCCAAGTACTTCGCCCTGGGCCGCGGCGGGAACCCGCCGAAGACCAACGAGGTGAGCGTCGCGGCCTTCAACACGGCGGACTCGGTGAATCCGCTCCAGGCCCGGGACCCGGACCAGGGCCGGCACGTGACCATGGAGCAGCGGCTCGAGAAGCCCGGGCCGAACGTCTTCCGGCTCCTCTCCCGGCCGCCGGGCGAGTGGCCCGCGGCGGGCGCCGACGACGAGAGCGGCGCCGTCGACGGCATCATCTACGCCGTCGACGAGATCAAGGCGCGCGTCGCGCAGCTCAAGTACGCGAAGCGCGTCTTCGTGCTCACGGACGACCGCTTCGAGCTCGCGGACGCCGACGGCATGGACGGCGCGGTCGCCGAGTTCAAGGGCTGCCTCGACTACGCGGTCAAGACGGAGGGCTTCGGCTTCCACGCGCTCGTGGTCGGGGCTGCGCTCTCCGACGGCTGCGAATGGCTCCTCAAGGCGGCGACGAAGATCGCCGCTAAGAAAACGAGCGGCTCCTTCGACCTCTGCGGCCCCGCGGACGCGGCCGTCGTCGCCGCGGAGGCGTGCGGGCGGCTCGGCGCCGCGACGCGCGCGGGCAAGATGCAGATCCGGCTCCTGGGCCTCGCCGTCGACGTCAAGGCCACGAAGCTCGTCAAGGCCGCGGCGACGCCGCCGCTGAAGAAGGAGGCCGCGGAGAGCGGCGGCGACGTCGCGCGGTCGACGGCGAACGCGGTGGCGGGCCAGACGGACGACGTCCCCGACGAGGACATCGTCAAGGGCTGGATGTACGGCGGCGAGTACCTGCCGACGCCCGACAACGCGTCCAGCGGCCACGGCCGCGAGGCCGAGGACGACGCGGGCGAGGCGTGCCGCGTCCTCGGCTTCGCGGCCGAATCGAGCCACGACGTCATGACGTCGCTCGGCGACGCGCTCCGCGTCCACGCCGCCGACGGCGACGCGCGCGGCGCGGCCTTCCTCGCGGGGCTCGCGCGGGCCCTGACGTCCGCCGGCGCCGTCGCCGTCTGCCGCTGGCGCAACACCGCGCGGAAGAAGGAGGAGGACCTGCGGCTGCTCGTCCCGGACCGCGCCGACCCGGAGGCGCTCGTCGCGCACTGTGTGGAAATCAAATCTTCAACCCGACTTTAATGTGCGCGTAATCGAACGAATTGCGCCGGATTCTTCGGCTCTGCTTCGAGAACTCGACGAGAGCGATCGATTCGTCCAAAAATCAGCCGAATCGACTTCGATGACCGAGCTAGAGAATTTCAAAGTTTGGTGGGGACGTCCCAAACCAGTGGTTGATTTTCACACAGGTCGCGCACCGCGCGCCCTTCACGGACGACCTCCGGAGCGTCGCGGACCTCGCGCCCCTCGACCTCGCGGCGCCCGAGTTCGCGGCCGCCGCGCGGGGCATGGTCGCGCGGCGGACGCTGCCGCCGGACGCCGTCGCGGCGCTCCTCGCGACGAACCACCCGGGCGTCGCGACGTGCCAGGACCTGCTCGTCGCGCGCGCGGTCGGCGGCGCGCCGGACGAGGCCGGCATGGCCCGCCGCAAGAAGGCGCGCTACGCGCGGCTGGCGCCGGCGCCCGTCGACACGGGCGACGCCGACGACGCCTGGGGCGCGGCGCTGAAGCGGACGCTCGAGTCCGCCGCCGCCGCCGCCGCCGCGTCGACGAAGAAGAAGGAGCGCTGGGCCGCGGCCGCGCCGCCGGACGACGGCGCCGACGCGGCGCCCGCGGCCGACGCGCCCGCGGCCGCGGCGCCCGTCGCCATCGACAAGCACGACGCCGCGGCGGACTTCGCGCGCCAGATGGCCGCCGCCGACGCGCCGCGCGCGCCCC